AACGAGCCTCGGACTGAATACCCATGAATTGGTCCCCACCAAGCAAAGCGGTAAAGCCTTTGCCCCCCCACACACCCACAACCATCCCTTCTCCTCCCTGCACCGCCACCATCGCAACCACCACCCCTCCAAAAAAAAAAAAAAAGTCTTCCCCAAAGCTGTACCCTAGCTTCACCGCCCATTAAAGCACGACCATTGTGCAGAGATGCAGTCCACAAAAGCTGTCAATCTCTCTGGGTCCTCCAAAGCTTGGACTCACACAGACTGGAGTGACAGACCCCCCCCCACCCCCGCCCCCTCAAACCCACCCGTGTTCCCCCAAAAAATCCTCTCCCTGAAAACTTCTCAGCTAACTATCCCCCACCACCCCCCTCACTCTCTCCTGCTCTCTCTCTCTCTCTCTCTCTCTCTCTCTCTCTCTCTCTCTCTTGCTCTCCCCAGCCCTAGCGCACAAAGCATCAATCTGTCTTCAGCCCCAGCACCCTTGGCCCTTTGTCCCATCTGCAGGTGCCTCTGAAAGCACCCACGGTCGCCCCCAGCCTCTGCGCACGCCACGCCTAGTCCAGGGACAGGAACTGCTGACAAAGGCCCAGTGTGGGAATGAGGGATGCGTGGAGGGAGGGGAGGGGGTGTGGAGGGGGGAAGCTGCTCCAAGACAGATGGCTGGGGAAGTCTACCAACTCCTTCACAGGGGCTGTCAGTTTAGATTCAGAACTACGAATGAGACACACAGGGGAAGAACCAGTGAAGGAATGCCCACGAAGATCCACAGCTACTGTACATTTAAGCAAGGACCACAGAACCGAACCAGCAGCACCCCCTGGATATCAAACCCAGCTGACTGACGAAATTTATGCACTACAAGAGGATTGATTTCAGCTGAAATGTACTGACACATATGATAAAAATAAAATAACCGTAGGCATAAAAAATTCTCATCCTTAAACACTTTGTAGACACTGAAAATACTTCCACAAAACAGGCATTGAATTTACTCTTCTCTATCAAACTTTATGGACTTTCATTTCCAATATATATTTATTTTTTTGCACAGAGCTGTACAGGTTCAAACACAGATATTAAATGCATGTAAACATTCAGATTGATCTGAGTTTTATCTTCATGTTTTGAAATAAAGTGCTTGTTTTATTTATTCATTAAATGCTATCTTGCAGCACATGTCTGTTTGTACCTTGCTTTCTCTACATAATTTAAATGCAAAGTTCTAGCCGCCTATGTCACATTACAGATTAGCCTACAGTGGTATTATTTCATCAGTAGATATGTGTCACTTTTCAGTTTCTGTCATGCAAAGCACATACAATTATGACAAGTTTATCTTCAAAAGATCTCATGATGTTCGACTTTGATGAACTGGGTAAAAATCCTCTTTAAACTAACTGTGCAGAGATGTGCAGCTTTGCTCTGCTTCTCTAGCTTTCATGCAACAAGTTTATTAGGCCTATTGATGTGGCTGGGGTGCCATCGTGTGGACATATGTTGCATTACAGCAACCAGTTGATCAGCTGACTTTTGCATTCACAGTCTGCATGCAAAGTAAGTCATAACTTAATGGGTTTTGGTGATATCTGCACGTTTATTCGTCAAATAATCAAATTATGATACTGATTAACCTTCCATTTAATGATTTTTTGCACTGTAAAAAGAATTTAATGATAGTATGCCAAAGAAGCTAAAACTTTTAAAGCATCACAGATAAGAAACCAAGAATCGGGCAAGTGCTTCTCTATACACTGTACGGTCTCAGCTGTAAGCTCAGGATAAATATCATTATGATTTTTACATTATCCTGAATGATTTAAATTTCAAAAAGATTGCCCTCCATTTGCCATCCAGAAGCTTCCTGTAAATCACTGGATTATTATATGTTGTGCAGTAGATACAGATTCATGCTAGCAGGTGATTTTGTCTATTTGAGGTCTGATAAAGACCATTTAGAGCTCCTTAACTTCGAGATATAATATGATAATGAGATAACTATTCATTATGCTCTGTGCTGAAGATTTCTAAAATGAACTTGCCTCGTGTTGAACCTAGTCTTAGCTCTGACTCAGTCCTTTGATGGCTCTATGAATGAATCATCAATCACCCCAAAAACTCAACCAACAAATACATGTAATTCTTCATTTAGCCACATGGTGGCGATAGACTACAACTTACAGCCTGTGGCTTTTCTATGGCAATGGCCTTATGTGACTTAAATTTCCTGCATTATGCAACCACGAAATTCTCTCTCAAACAGTCAGGAAACCAGTTTGCAGTTTGACAGCAAAACCACAGGGTGATAAACGACGAGCATAAGTATCAGCAGGTTGTAAGGGCAGATCCTGAGCACTTTATAGTCATTAATTTTAATGGTGACTTAAACAGCTCAGTGCAGTACAAGGTGACATTATGTAGAATATGTTTTGACAGTGCTGTAACTCATCTTGCATAAAATTACCTTGGATATTTAAGTTGGCAGCCAATATGTACATATCAACATAAGTATTTGGCCAGTGTTGCTTAATAGCATGACTGCAGAGTTTGTTTGTTTGTTTGGTCCTGATTTGATTATGTTTCTGTGCTGCGTGGTTAGAAATACTGTGTTGATCAAGCTTGTTGGTTCCTCATTCCAGATGAAATCAGACAGCAGTTTCAGCACACATGAAAGCTCTGCCGGGTAGTTTAACTTTTATAGCTCTTGGTTTTTAAAAGAGAAACAGGATTTTAAGGACTCAGGTTGAAATATGTTTTATTTTCTTCAGAAAGAGTGGATAATTGCTGACAGGATGTGAACTACATTTTGTTGTATGTGGATTCCATTCTAAAACTTTTGTGTAAAAACAACAACAAAAATAAACTTAATAATCAAGATACTTTGACATACGTTTATGTTATTATATTGCATAATAACCATAGTTATTATGGGGTTTTCTCCATCATGCAGACATGCATTCAAACATTAAACATTTTGCCCCATAAGTATATTTTGGTTGTTTTCTTATGATTTCTACATGAAATCAGTCAAAAAAATAGACAGAAATACTCTATACTTATCTAAATTTGCATGGCAAGCCAGCCTGACCAGTCTGTTTTTTTTTGTTTGTTTTGCTTGTTTTTTTTCCCGTAGAAAAGTGTTCAGTTGTTGCAAGAAAACAAGTGTAAATGTATAAACTTATACATTTTAAAGGTGACCACAAACGCAGTCATCCTAAGATAAGGAAACAACCAAAACTGATCAATTTTGTTACCAATGGAGAACTGAATAAATAGACTGTAAATATGCATGTCTGATCAGGGCTTTTGGGCCAACCTGTGGTTTTCTAAAGCAACTGAATTCTCTTTCAGTAGCTAAGTTTAGGAAGTGAGTTTGGGTTTTGATGGTTTTGTTTTTCATCGAGGCTGACTCGTCATTGTTTCCTCTTATCATAAAACACAAACCACATGTATTTGTGATCATCCATGAGGTTTATGGTTCAGAGTACTGATTCACACAGAGACACACTATAAAGCTATAGAAGTCACAGTGACCCCAGATTGCCGAGCTGGTATCCCTGACAGACTGGATGGTATCTTGAAGTTATATACAAATATCTATGTTAGTATCTATGTTTTGTCTCTATTGTTTTATCGACCACATTTCACACCCAACAAGGACGTCACTAAGGCAAAAATGCAAACCTAACACCACATGCAAAAAGCTGCTAAGGTCACTGCTGGTACAACAAGCACAAGCACAAACTAGTTTCTGATACCACACAGTAATGAATGCTCTAAATGTTGTCCGAGCACATGCTATTCAATATGACGAACTTTAAGTTGATTTAATTTCATAAAATGTCTTTTAGGATTCAGTGGTTCTGTCAGATCATTGACACATCCACAGAGAAAGTTTGTAATCTTTAAAAAAAAAAGGAATTAAAAAACTTTACAGCGACTGCATGTTTAAGAGCTTATAGTCACGCAACAACTATAAATGCAATGGCTTAAACTTTCTCCAAAACTAATAGACTGTATTGTTTTGTTTGGTCTATGTTTTCTGCTTTTTAGCAAAGAGGTTGGTTAGAGCCAGTTTTTATATTTCAGATCTCTACATCAAGGCAATCATAGTTTTGTCTCTAACTAGTGTATCTGCATATATTTCAAGATGTTGTGCCTCCCTGCAAACCAACAGAATGAGTGTAAACATAACTGTCTTGTTAATATAGCAGGCCAAAAAAAAGTGGTCTCCTATGGTCAACTCACCCTATGTATGAAGTAAGTTGACCATAGGAGCGGGGTAAGTTGCGCCGTATCCCTACTACCCTACCTACTAGCCCTCCCTCACCTTCTCTCTCCCTAAATAACAGTCACTTCTTTACATTCATGTGTATTTTTATCTATTGTTTGCTATTCAACTGGTACAACAATACTTTTGATTATTATTATTATTGCGTATAACTGCTAAAAAGCTGTTTTGTAAAAAGTCATTTTAACATGAGAATGTCTTTAAGTGATTCAGAACATTCACAGCTGTATATTTGAAAAGAAAAAGTAAAATATTTCAACAATCTGAACTGAAACTCTGATCCTCTCATCAGACTCCTTTACTTTCTCCGTTGAACCACTGGCTCAACTGACCCCAGAACTACTATCATGACTTTATTAGTCCTCTGAGCTAAAATGGTGGACTTTTGTGCTCGGTTTTTGACCTCATGTTTTAGCTCATAGATACCACAACTGATGTATAAAACAAATTTAAAATGATCTTTTTTGGTCGGAACATAGTTATAATAAAACTTATGACAAACTAAATTCACTTTCAAGAGTGAAAAATGTTTTTTTTGTAAATAAATGTCTAACCCCTTCACCCATGTGCTTCTAACCTTCCCAGACTCCATGAATTGATGCCCATCTTTTAAATATTTGGTCACATGATCGATTTCTTTTACCATTTCCAAGCAACACAGGGTGGCTCAACTTACCCTTTGGCCAGAGCAGGCCCAAGCCATAAGCGAACTAAGGGCCTGCTTAGGTCCCTCGGCCAATAGGGGGCCCCCAAAAGCAATCCCAAAAAAGTTTTATCTTTTGCATTTATAAGTGATGCTTTCTGCATGGTTAAATATATACTATTGTAGAAATAAAATTAAAGTAAAAACATTTTAGTGCTGCTGCTGATGTAGGCCTATGATTCTTACTGCCGATATGTCAACGCTCTGCTTCTGTTTTGCGCTTCCTGCTGTGCAATGTGCACTGAGCATTCAAAGCATTCAAAACGGACATATCCTTCAGGAGCAGAGAAAAGAAAGAGGAAGAAATAATAAGAAGAGAAAAAAAACACCAAGATAAAGGTATGTTTGCATGTGTTGGAATGTTAATCAAAGAGATTCATGAAGGTGTGTGAATGATCAACAATCAATATTATTGGCAGAAATAGAGGGCCCTATGATCAAATTTTGCTAAGGGCCCCATTGAGGCTTGGGCCGGCTCTGCCCTTGGCTTAACTTAGCCCACTCTCCCCTATTTGTATTCTATCCACACAGAGCTCATTGTATCATAAGGCATGAGCTGTAAAAGTGGGAAACCCCCTCTGCATCATTGACTGTCCGTATAACATATTCATATCAGGCCTCTGCTCATGTATTATTATCAAAGCACATGCCTCAAGTTGTAGAATATAAAAGACCTTAGTTTGAAATCAGACCACATTACCCAGAATGCCGTGTGGGAGCGAAAGTCGCCGCACCTTCGCCGGGTGGAGCTTGTGAACGTGGGAACGTTTGTGGGTTGCTGCGGGTTGCTGCTGCTGCTGCTGCTGCTGGAGTAAAAACTGTTTGACAGGGAGGTGAGACGACCTGTGAGAGGGGGATTACATAAGAGAAAAGAAGTTTTTTAGCGTGTCCGCGACAGTTTCCGAGTCAACTTGGAGGTAGACTTGAGCTGCGACAAATGATTTGTACGAGTGTAAGCAACAGGGCAGAGAGCGAAATGTCAGGGACTGTTTCAGCCGAGAGCAGGGGGAAGCGCGACTAGTACACCGCAACGCGGAAAATCTTCAGGGGGGTGAGAATGCGAATGGTGCGAAGATACCGAAATCAAACAAAATGGAAACGATGTAGCGACGCTGCGGTATTTCATATAGCTAGAACTAACGTTAGAGTAGAGAATAGATAGCTAAGGAGCTAGCAGGTTAACTAACATACATGTAAAGTTATTCCCCGGAGAGACAGAGCCCGGAGGCGTCTGTTGAATCAGAGGAGTTTTATCAATACCACGAAATCAAAGAAGATCAACAAGAAGATGCTACGGAGAGGACTCAACCGTTTGGTATGTGTGCCCCGGTATTAACACTCCACACATTCACACACATTTACATAAACATTGTTAGCCCATTACATCCCGCTGTTGTCTGCTAGCGTTTTTATTAACTGCTGAGAAAGGATGTAACAGAGTATTTCCAGTCATTGCCCCCTGTCATTTCATCACGAGAAACTACAAGCATGACACTAACTGTTACTTCAGCCAGCCGGATAACACGGAGCAGCTGGTGTCAGCTAACTGCTAGTTAAGTTCCTGAAACAGCCAGGAAGTCACGACAGATGTGAGCTGATGGTAGCTTCACTGAGCAGGAGCTGGTAAAAATGTACTTTAAGGTCACATACGGGGAAGTGTCTGCCTGCTCTCCGCCATGGAAGCTCACCTTCTTTACAACCTACTTTAATTCAGTTCAATTCAAACTTTGTTATGGGCGCTTGTTTCAGTTAAAAGACTGTGTAATACTCGTACAAATACAGACACACTTCATTTTTTTTAATGTAAGGAGGATATAGAATTGATATAAACTGCTTTAACCCTAGAACACTATCACTACAATTAGTAACATTATCACTATAAGAAATAATATACCCAAGAAAAAGTACTTGTCATCAAAGTATATCAAAATAGGACAATGCATGACAAGTTGAAGTAGTTTTTTTCATTTTTAACTGTGTAATGTGCAACAAAAAGTGCCATGAGGGGACCATATAAAAATGCAACAAAATAACTAAAAATTAGGCATTCATGAACGAAAAAATTCCTGATAAAAACCCCACAGAAACTGTAAATTTAGGCTGTGTTCGAAATGAATCAGTCAATCCCTAACCCCTAACCCCCATATGGGATTTCACTATATAGTTGACTATGTATTGAACTCAATCACCAGAGGTTTCGGACACTACATGGCAACAAGCAATGCATGACAGGATGCCCACCCCCAGTGAGCGACCATCGGATGGTCACTACATTTTGCAATGCTCTATGGGAAATTTTGAGTCGCCTATATGGGGCATTGGAATTGATCACTCAGGTTTCGGACACCCCTCAAAATGGTGCTAACCCCCATGTAGTCGCCTATATAGGGGTTAGGGATCCATTTTGGACACAGCCTTAGTTTCTTTTCCACCCAGTCCTGGGGCATGTGAGTCTTCCCTGGTGAAGACTCGGGGTCCTTGGCACAATAATAGCTGCAGGAGAGAGAACCAAAATATTGCATATTTTGAATGAGTAACAATGACCAGCTGACTAAAATATTTCTTATCACGACATGAATTCCCTTGAAAATCACTACTTTGTGATAGTTATTCATAACCACTGCGCTAAATAAAGAAAGAAAGCAAATTCCAGGACCACTCTTACTGGCCTTATTCGCCTACATGCAGCTATCAAATCCACCCAAACCTACTTTACCCTCTATCACCCGAACACATGCCTGTAGGAAATAGCAGGTTTTGATCAGGGAAACAAATATGTCTTCAAAGTTGTCAAATGCAATGCTGAAGCTACCCAGGGACCCATGATACTCAGACAAACGCAACATAATAAAAATCACGTAAACATGTTTGGTCAGGTGAAAATCACCCAGCGATAGTGTTCTAGGGTTGAGCTTTAAAAGAGGCATCTGAACCAGTGTCTCCTTAGATGAAACTTGTTATGAACGACACTGTATCTGATATTAGCCAAGCCCACAATCATACCATTCTCAGCATAGTTTGGAGAGTTTCGATTGAGCACTAACCCTTATTTTGCTTGCTCTGCACAATCCACTGTAGAGTTCTTTGGGAATAGCATCTTTGCAGCCTCGCTTTCTTATAATACATGAACAAATTTGCAGTATATAGAGGTATACATCTTCATTATGTCTTAACACAAACTACAGCTGCTCTCAGGGATGCTTGCATGTACATACGATACATCTTGTTTAACTGACTTTCAAGATCAACATTATTAGTGTATTTTCTCCTATAAAACAACCAAAATATGATCTGATTACGGCTGTTACAAAAGTTCAGCACTGCAGGAGTATCATTCAACACAACCAGGTCATCTGCATGTGAGATTGTCCTCTACACTTTTATCAATTATGCACCCTGTGTTACAAGCTATCATCAAACGTACAGTGATAAAAGGGTCTCACCTGTATATTATGTAAAACAGCTTTGAAACCGAAGCTAAATTAAGAGTGCATCAGCTTGTCTCCAGGGACCTGGGCTGGTTTTCTCTAAGGTCTCGGAGGCTAAAAATATACACTCTCTTCAATGCACAAAGACAAGCATTCTACCATATGTCTTTCCCAGAGTAGCCTTCACGGTCAACTCAAGTCGATAAATATAGATTGACAGGAAATCAATCAGCTACAAATTTGTCAATTGATTATGTAGATCTGGTTCTGTTTTCTTTTGGCTTCTGAACTGAGAGGTTTTCCTGCTTAAAATTTTGTCGAAACTTGTGAAGACAACTCACACTTTTGTTTAACTTAGGGCGCGTTCACACCACCCTCGTTTAGTCTGGTTAAACCAAACCCTGGAGCGTTTACCCCCTTGATGCGGTTTGTTTAGGTCGGTGTGAACACTGACCTCGAACTCTGGTGCGAACCAAATAAACAAACTCTGGTCCGCCTGAAGAGGTGGTTTCGGACCGCTATTATGTGAACTCTGGAGCGGTTTATTTCTGGTGTGAACGTCATCCAAACCAATCACAGGAAACACACCACACACGTCATTTCCTCGTCTTTATCAGTCTGTTGTTTGCAGCATGTCTACTCCGGAATGTATTAATTAATGCTGCAGTTCGTGCTCACTGGCTAGCGACTAGCGTCTTTTGATACGCGCTCCAGGTGAGTAGCAAGAGCAAAATCAACCTACGATGCTCCATGTCAGACGAAGACAGCAGAGCGGGGTTTGTCTTCCAGCATAAACTAATGACCAATAACCGAACAATATACACGGTCACGTGACTTCCGGTTCTGTTTTCTGGAGCGATTGAGTTTGTCCTTTGTAAACGCAAACCGGACCAGTTAAACAATCAAAACAAATGTATCGTCTTGCCTTGGATTCGAATCAGGAAATGGATCTTTAGGTGTGAACACGACCTTAAACTCAATTGATCACTCTAAAGAGAACTGTAGCTAACAGTCTATCAATATAATATGATAATAATAATAATGGTGCATCAGCTGAGGATGTATCGGTTGACATTGTTTGTGCGACAGTCTTTCCGTGCCTGTTAAGCAGCTGTGAGATTAGTCCAATACGAAAAAGAAGTTGGTCCTCTGCCCTCGTGAACTGCTGTGACATCATATTTCACGATTGGTCAATTTAATGCTTACCCTTTAAAGTTCCCCCATTGGTTTCATTGCCTTCCTCATACGTTAATCAGTCATGGGCTGGCTAGTTGAGAGTGGAGTAACTCTCTGCAAGGCCAGGTTTATAAATGCTAAACTGCCTTTACTGCCTCTTTATCATCCTCTTATGCACCAGTAACCTGTTGTCACCGCTGGGTTGAATCCCCCAAAGGATCCGTGAGCAGTATAGATACTGACAGTGAATAAGGGGAAGCAATATAATAATTATAGTGCCTGACCCTCCTCCTGGCCCCCCTCTAAGTGTTGCCAGGTCAGCTGATTTTCCTGCTTCTGGAGAGGATTGCTGCTGTAATTTCTCTTCAGTGTGAGCTGTAAATAATATTTTGTGCCGAGCAGCCAGCCACACTGTCATTGATGCTCACAGTGCCGTTATCTCCGGCTCTGGCTCCCTGCCTCCTGATTCACACCATCCTCCTCTTGCCCACAGGAGGTTCATGTGCATCATGAGAGAGGAGGGAGGATGATACAGAGAAAAGGGGGATTGCCTGCACATGCCAGAAGGCAAAAAAAGAGGCTCCATGTGTCTCACTAGACTCTCCCACTATGGTGCGCCATGCCACCAAACCCGGAGTGTGTCTTTGGAAAATCATTAGCGATAGCTGTGGGAACGATTGAGGCAGGGCGTTTTTATTGTGGGGGTGGGCTCTAGAGGTTGTAATGCTCTGACAGGAATGCAAAATCACACACTTCCCTTTGATGTTCGTTCAAGCCCTTGAAGGCAGCAGTGTGATCTGTGAGAGGTGGAGCCTGGCGGAAATGTGATAGTATTCATGGTGGGAGCCCCTGCCTTGGCTTCGTGGAGAACAGCACCGACCCATGAAAACACCATCACCCATGCAGCACGTCTCACTATCTTTTTTTAGGCCTCCTCCTACTCTCTAGCTGGGTGAAATCACACGTGAGGAGCTTTGGCTTTCTGCTTGGCTCAGTTGTAGCACTGTTAAAAATACTCCTCCTACTCCGTTTTGAAGTACGCCCAAGCTGCAGCGGAGTTGACCAGTCCTGCACACAGTTGGAGGCTCCACAGGTGCTCACATCCTGCGCACAATGGCAGGATGGAGTCACACGCTGACTCTAACGGAAGTGCTTTCTGCTTTGAGTTATACAATTATAGAACCGAGTGTGGACATAATCATTGAGTTGATTTATTGAATAACAAGTTCTCTAATAATCTGTTAATCCTTTGAAATTCCAATCATTCTGCAGGACTAATTAACTTCCCAATTATAGAGAGTTATGCTTTTGTGTTGTCATGCAGTGTTGCCATGAAGCTTTTTTTGTAAATGATTAATCAAGGAACTAATCGGCAGATTAACCGTCTATTAAAATAGTGCTAGTTGAAAGTAACTACTGCGAAGAACATCTAAAGTTAGATGGACCATTTTATAGTTTCAAATGAATGTTTCCTGTGTGGAGTTAGACGTCAAGGTTGGTTTAATTTAGCATCATATGCCTAGAAGTAAGCATGCGTTTTAATACCAGTCTCTTGGGGCTACTTAGGCACAACTTGTGGACTGCTTAGAGGCTGTAAAGTGTTTTGTCTCGGTTGTATTTTCAAACAGTAGAAAGGTTACAGGCTAACAGGTTTTTTTGTCGTGTTTAGATTACAATTCACAGGAGCTACAGGGGTGTCATGGCATTTACACAACTCATCTCCATAACATAAAAAAAAAAACCTTTGATGCATTGTGTGTTTTTCTTGCAGCCTGATTCAATTTTGAAGTGCAACTTTTGAAGGGGAATTGTATTCCGAGTCTGAGGGGTCCTACATGTGACTCTCTTACATGCTAATCCATTTATCTTCCAAGGCCTGCAAAATAAAAGATTTTCTGCCTCTGCAGAAAAGGGTGCCGCTCCGCTCCTGAGCTCTTCTATCTTAGTTGGGCTTCCCCCTCACCTCTGTGCCCTCGTCTCCATCTCCGTTCAGTCTATCCACCCTGCTGCAGGGTGAATGATGCACTGAGGCCTGCCAGTGTCAGATGTGTTTCTACTTGACTGTGACCCAGGCACCTGTAAGCAAGCCCTCGCCTGGCAGGAGACGAGGTTGTGTGTGAGGGATTGCATGTCAGAGGAGTTTTAAAGCAGAGGGGTTCTATAAACTAGTTTCTCAGGTCAGCCAAGAGTGCCCACAGCTCTGGGACGTACACACAACCTGTATGCAAATGTTGACACACACACAAACACACAAATGTTGACACACACGCACCTGCACTTTGAGTGGATGTCATGCAAATTTTTTACATTCACAATTGTAGTTTTAGAGACTCGGGGTTTAACTGTGTTAAAAATTAATCAATACTAGTGCTAGTTTGGCAAAAGTAACCTAACAAAAGTCCAATATATGATATGCTCAAAAAGTAATGATGCAGGGCTTGACACTAACTTTTTTCACAAGGAGCACATGTGCTCCTAAGTTGAAAAAGTAAGGAGCACACAGAGAACTTTAGGGGCACAATGGACGACGTAAGTACTGTTATTTGAAATCAGTTTTAGGTCTTTTGGTCACATGACATGGAAGCTATTGAAGAAAAACAGCCTTTTTTGAGAACATGAACCGGTAATTTATTGATGGTCCCTTAATAAACACCTGATGTTGACAGTGAGGGTGCCGAGTAGATTTAACCGCGCTGCTGCTGCTATTCCCAGTTATGGAAAGTGAGATCCACAGTGAATGTCAGTCGAATATCTAGCGTAAATCTAACTTCACCGCGGTATTTACATGAAAAAAACATTTGTTGCCTCGGCTGATTTATTTTATGTGCACATGTGCCCCTAAATACATTTTACAATTCGCACCCATCTATTTTTAGTCGCACATGTGAGTGAAATGGTCGCACTGTTGAGCCCTGAGATGTATAATAATTAAGATGATTTCTCCTCTGTTTTCATTAAGGGCTCGTAGTTTGTGAAGCTGTAGTTTTCACTATTCAATGCTACCTAATATAAAATAACATAGATTTTGTCATTTTAAAGCATGTCGTATTTAAAAGTATCAGAGCATTAAAAATTTTGACAGTCTGAGTTGAGACTTAATGCACCGTCATCAGTTTTCCCAGGATAAACTAATGTTACACTCTTGAAAAAAAAGATTTTATGATAATAATTTGTTTAATTTACCCTGATTTGAAGCTTTAAAAAATGCACCGCTTCCTTTTCACTCCATTATCCTGATTTTGCAGCCTCATCTTCCAAGCTTCTAAATTTTCCAAACATATTTTCTGTTCAGCCTGCAGGCCAGTATTGCTCCTCTATACTCCTCAGGTCTGTGAGCAGTAGAGCACCTGTTGGGAACTTATCAGGGGCTTTTGTTAACCGACGAGATACAAGAGCCGTTGAACAGACTTGTCACTTTTCGGTGAGTAATTAGGCTAAGAGTACATCTGAAGGCCACAGACCACACAAAGCATGCAGGGGCCATTTGATTTATCAGGCTCTTTTTGATTAGCAGAGATGCGTATTGATTAGGGCTGTGCTCAGTTTTTGCCGCCATTAGTCTTGTATCGTGAACAGGCTGGCGAACAGAATTGCTTACTCTGATTTCTTCCTCTTCCTACCTCTTTCCCCATCTGGTCTCCTGCATTCTGCCCAGTAATGGAAACCCAGCCAAAGGAGCTCATCTGCAACACACAGCAGGATAATAAATATATTTAGTGTGAGGAGGGAGGGGTGGGGGGGTGGTGGTGTGAAGGAATAAACGGCTGGCTGTGGGGTAGCAGTCTGATGAAATATAGTGGGGGAGTACGGAAAGCCCTGCGTGACTCAAACCCGAGAAACTGGGGTGAAACCAGGGGGGGTGGACCTGTAGCCTCTTTGCACCTCTCCATCTCCTTCTCCACCTAATGGACAAGCTCTTTCAGGCTTCCTGCAGCGGTTTAACATTGGAGTGGGCGGGTTTGCTTGGATACAGGAGGACCACGGATGGCTTTTTGTGGCAATTTTCCACTTCCCTTTAAAAGCGAGGTTGAATTCTCAGTTTGTACCTCTAAATAATTCAGATTGCTTCATTTATTTTGAATTCTCCTCACGTCGTTCCTCCCTTTTTCCTGACCCCACGTATCCTCGCCAGGCTCGCGGCACTCAAAATGCATTCTCATCATCCATATATGTATAAAGGCTCATCCAGAGATTTTCTGTGCCATGCTCCAGCTCTAGCATTACCCAGAGAGCATCGCAGTGAGATGTGAAGGGAATGCTGAGATGTGTGGGGGGGATGTTTTCTTTCTTTTCCTTTTTTTTTTGGGTCTGTGTCTACCTCACTCTCTGTGTCTGAGCACGCAGGGAGAAGCAGGAACGGGAGCATCTGTGATATTTCCCACACATCCCGGTTTTCCTTTGTCACCTGAAATGATAGGGTACTCACTGACACCGAGAAGAGGAACCGCGAACTCCCCGTGAGGATTTAACGAGTGCTGGAAGGCAAACGAACATGCCCCCTCCCACACATGCTCATGTGAACACCTCGGTTTAAGCATCAGCCCACAATTATTATCTCCACAGTGAACTCCCAGCCAGGCAGACGGCATTGCTCAGTCACAGGGAGAAAAATGAGTCTCTTAAAAGTGGTCACAGTTCAGTGGGAGGAAACGCTTGGAGAGGAAACCCAAATCAACCATGCCCCTGTGAGCAAAAGAAGGAAAGAGCCACATTGATTTTCGTTATTAGTCTCGTTAGCCTCCTATGCAGTGTCTTTGGATAATTAATTGAAAAGCAATTACAGCCAGTGTAGCTTTGTACATTATTAAAGATAATGTCATCAGAAGGGCTGAAGCTGAGATGGAGACTTTTTTAAAGCCTGTCAGCATTAGGATGTACCGTTAATGCCTTTCTGTTGTTATTGCGTGGCTCTCTGCCAGGGGATGAAAGCCATTGTAGTGTGTGTGCAGTTTATTTACATTACAGCCCATACAATACACGGAAAAAGCAGCTGGATCAAGCAACTTCATCTAAGTGAGTGAATCTGGTGATTTGTCTCACACACACGCACACTAAAGCAGAGTATGGAGAGTATGTGCACTTGGCTGGAAAAACCATACTCCATTTATGGCTACACTACTTTAAATTCTCTTTAATTATAGATTAAAGTGTGACTGGGCTGCTGCTTGAAATGTGTTCACTTTTTTCTCGTCTTGAAACACAAAGTGTCTCAGTGAGAAGAACCCTTTCCACTTTTGTCACTTGCTCGAGGACTTGCTGAGATAGTTGATGGAAGTTTCGAGGACAAAGTTCAAGAATAAGAAGGTGGTGTAACGTGATCTAAACCTAAACCAGAACCTTGGCGGATAGGTGCTTTAAAACTATAAACCTGTTAAAATGTAACTCAGGAGGTGAATGTAAAACTACTGCTTACGTTTGTTTTGTGAAGTTTGGACCGCATTATGTTTATTGCTGGTCTGTAAGGTGCCGTTTTTAGGAACAACGATCGTCCAGTGACCACAGACCTCTGTCAGCGTTGTGTGACTTGTTTATACATTTCCTGTTGTAATGTCTGCAGCTTTTTCTGGTGGCGTCAACACTTTTTTTTCTGACCGTTTCTGCAGTTAAACAGTAGCCAAAGGCCACAGGTTCCCCTCTTGCATGCATTGTTTGAATCCACAGTGTACAGAGGCAGAAACCTATAAACATGTCAGTCCCCAGATTGAACAAAAGCTTCCTTTTTTGCAGCCACTTGTTTCCTTGTCACAAAATGTCGATGGTTTTTCGATGCAACACATTTCAAAAGCTGTCAGTGGGCTATGGGCGTTGCAAGACTGGAATAAAAATCGTCAGTCTGTGGCTTTTTTTTTTTTTTTTTTTGAGGCAATCAAATGATTGAGGAAGCTGTTCCCAGAACGAGATCTAGATGAGTTTCCCCGCCTCCCCCATTGTCGAGGGACACAGCGTAATGTAGGCCAGTACCAGCCCATGGTACAGTACTCTCTGTGTCTCCTACAGCTGCAGGGATGCTAGCTGAACAATGGGCCTTTGCCTATCCACAACAGCTCCTTAGGATCAGCCCTCAGTTCAAGTTGGACCATTATTACGCTTTGGGGCCATTCATCACTGTGAGCAAACAGCACGGAGAGGAGGGAGAGTGGATATGGGGTTTGTAGACTGTGGTGTAGGCCAAGTGCTGATGAGCCCATGATGGAGGTAACTTCTATTATGGCTTCACTATTGGAGTAATGGCTCTTGTTTACTTTTGACACCCAACCAAAAAACAGGAAGCTAACAGCAATGTATACTAACATTTTACAGGTTTTTGTTATTTATCTAGGGTTAAAAGGATGACGAGTTGAAATAAAAACAGAAAAGTAGCATGAAATGCTAAGCTATATACTCCCAGGTCGAAGTGGGTGTGTAAATATTTCAAGTGAGGTTTTCTGAGGTATGGAAGGATTAGTTTGATAAGTCTAACACTTGAGTAAAACAAAGAGTCTTTATGTTGAAATTAGACCAATGACTGGTGTGAAATAACTTCATCAAGGACTCCTTGTTGCAGGAAAAATGCACCAAAAGGTGAATGCCTTTCAGAACTGCTGCGGTGACAAACTTTTAATGCCGATTTGATGTTAATGCGTCTCAGTGCTATATATTCTTCAAAAGATAACCCAGCTTTGGTGAATTCTCTGCTGCCTCGGCAATGAGCACTTGGATGTATAATCAAAACTGAGGGAGTAACAATTATGAAGACAGAGTGATCATACTAGAAGAGGACAAGCAAGTGGGCCGACAAGGAAAGACAGAGAGAATGAAAAAGCAGCGAGTGCCAGATAGAGCACTGCAGTGACTAACAGCATTGACTCACCATGTGCATCTTTCCCCTCGCATTCAAACATTCATCACTCAGCGCTATTCAGCCTGTCATGGTACCAACTTTATGTTGCAGTTAGCCTGTTTTTACCGTTGTCATCAACATTTCTCCAAGCTGTTTACTGGTTAAGCATCTTGTTTTGGCGTTCTTTCTTTCCAGTACTCTTAGACAACAGTTTAAAGTGTTCAAACCGAGATATATTACTCTTAAGTCATACATCTGCTTTTAGAGCTTTCTCCGTCGTGAGTGTTTAGAGGAAGAACTGCTAATAGGGTGCTGCAGATAAGGTTGACCTGTAGTCAATCCACTTGCGCTGAGCTGAGAGCAACATCATAAAACCTGATAGCAGAGAGATAAGATGCACTCAGAAGAGATGTTAAGTTGCAGAAAATGATAAGGCACCGAGGCACTCTCACACACAGCCTACTCTCTTCATGTAGAGCTGAAACTGAATGAGTAATTAGACAGTGTGTAGTTTGGATCATTTGTACCCAGAGAATTACATGATATGGATACCGAGGTCAAACAAGAACACAGACTTAACAGCGGTTCTGTCGTCCTCGCTGTGCTGCAGAGTGTTATTAGTACATGTACAGGACATAAAGAGGTACAAGCGCAGGTCCCTGCTCTCTCTTCTTCACACAGCTCCCTCACACCTCATTAAATGTGTTTAAGTAGACTTTCTTAGTGGATTTTTTTAGAGCTTAATAGCACAGCTCTTGCATTCCTTACTGAATGAGCTCGGTGTTTCTTTTTTGTCCTTTGAATCCACGTTACGAAATCACAAGAGAAGACTTAGAACAAAGCTAAACCACTACTTAGGGTGCCTTTTTTTATGATCGCTTCAGCATCTCTCTAAGAAGAAGTCAAGGCATCAATCATGCTTGACCACGGACTGTAGCAGAGTAAATAATCTTTGCTGTGTCATCGCCTTGCGTTCTGTCATCTGCCGGCTCCATCTTTAGTCACTCTTTGCCTTGAAATACTTGTCAGATTAACTTGCGTAACATCAAACACTCCTGGTCTGAAGATACACATGTAAGCCGTCAGAGCAGAGCTTCAGTGACACAAAGCTAAACAACTGAAATGCCAGAATTAAGACACACTTTGCTGTCCGAAGCAGACCTTTGAGCCAGAACCATTTATTGTAGGCTCTCTGGAAGACTTTGAGCTGTAAATGCAGCACCACTGTATCAAATGTAATCTTTATTTACAGACGCCATTAGAATATAGACCTTTAGGCTGTGGGCATGGATTTTATGGGAAGTGCAATGGCTCTTTTTCCACAGTAAGTTTGTTCGCCAAGTGGTATTGACCAATCAGGCATTATCATCGCACATTGGTGTGTGCAGGATAAAGGGTCTGTATTGAGAGCAAAAGCAGAATGAACACAATATAACAAAATAGGGTATATGACAACAATCTGCTTCTATTTATGAACAAATACAGCATGTAAGTTTGGATAAGGATCCATCCTGGAGTTCAAGTTTTAACTTGAGGTAGGGATGTCCTGATAAGATATTGATTTTGGATATCGGACTGATATCAGCAAAAATTGGCCTGCATTTAAAATCTCTTGTATCAGCTCTTCGATACAAGCAGTCCATTCCAGACTCCACTCCAGCACCTCCAGCTAGCAGTGCCCGGATCTAGCATGCAGAGCCCACATAATCACAACAACAGTGTGTTCTAAGATACTAACAAAGTGGCAAGGAGTAGGAGTGATGTCGGCAATGTGGCAGTATTTTTTGTTAAAGTACGAAAAAGACGTTGCAGGTGAGTTCAGAACTTGTAATTCACAAGTATCGGCCAATACTGAAGGCTACAATATTGGCGTCATATCGGAAGTAAAAAAGTTGAATTGGGACACCCCTAACTTGAGGCACAAATCGGCTCAACATAGGGCCACAAAAACCAATCAGGTTATAGATTTTTAATTTTTTCTTCTATGCATCTGATTCCTTTTCTTGGGAACAGAAATAAGTCAGTGAAGCTTCTGTTTAACCTACTATTTGCATTTGTTTTGCAGATGTTTGTTTATGAGGAGGATCAAACTTTACTTTGCTTTCAGTCTAAACATCGTCCATTTCTTATGTTGCTAATCAGACTGTAAATGCTAGAGCACACAGATGAATACATAAAGTATTAAAGAAATCTGTGTAAGAGGATGTTACAAACCATTTCTGTTAAGATGATATGAAATTATAAGTTGGTTGATGTTGTGATGGATTGTTCTGCGGTGTACATGGTTGTGTAATGTTCCTGTTTTGCTTACAGCATAAGGAAAGTGACAAAGCAGGATAGTCACTGAGTAGTGAGATGCTGTGACAGGACGCAGTGTCATAAGACCCGAGTCATCATTGAGAGTTTGGCAGCAGCTGAATGCACTCTCACAGTCCTGCTGCTCTCAGTGAAGCACCTTTCACCCGTCCTGCCCTCAGCTCATTTCTCAACGTGCGCGTAATCCAATTTAAAGCTAAATGTAATGCAAGGGTTCAATTTTCTATCGCACACCGTTTGTTTATGTCTGAGCAATTACGTCTCAGCTTAATCAAGCTTTGGATGTTTGCTGTATTGATCTCCATTCATGAGGGGATGCTTTTTTACCATTGTGGATGAACTGACTGACTGGCATTGAAGTGCTGGCCCTTGACTCTCAGCCGCTCTTACTTTACTTTCTCACATCACTTGCATCGAATGGTGTTGTTTGACCTTTGACAACGAGGCAAAGATAATGCAATCCGTTTTATTTTTTCCTTACAGTAGCATTTCCTGTGTGGCCTTTAGCTCACTGTAACTGCTCCAAAAATGGATGATCTGACCCTCATTATATTTCACTGTGAATCCACTGCTAAATCAATGGCCATTCAATAGTTCTTTTCTTATCTTTAGCACCCCAGGGCCGTGAGAACTTCCTTGTTTTTCTATAAAAATGGATTTCCATCCTGAGTGTGTTTGCGGGCCAACTTTTCCTTTTTAAAACCCTCCTTGAGACCGAGCCTTGCTGATGTAGGTTTCTACATCTACTTAAAAACTATCAAGTATTTATTTGGTGGGCCAGCAACCTTGAAAGTGTGTGCATTAGCATTGCTCATGTGCATAATCAATCTTAAAGAGATGGGCACAGGTAGAGGTTGGCACTGAAGGGGAAGCCTGTCAACTCTTCCAGTTGACTGTGTGACCTGTAATAATCCTGAAACCACAGCCCTTTGAATGTCCTTTGACTCGGGGCTAATTTGCTTTGTAAATTCTTCCATACTTTGCAGTTCATGTTTTGTCTGCACAGCCCTTTGTACTCGATTGCTTTTTTCTGCTCCTGCAACGTTTCTTAATGTTATATTAGGTGTTCGCAGTATTGCAGATCTGCAGTGTTGATATTAAATCCGTAGATTGCACGGAGGGAGTATAGCTGCCAGCAACACTGCATCTGATTCAAATAAATGAACGAGCTGGTCTGTGGGGCTGTTTTTGGCTTACTGCTCTTCCGGAGGGCTTGCTGTTGTTGTTGTTTGATATTGAAAACCTGGATATGCTTGTGTCCTTGGATCCTGTTATACTTCCTTGCTCTCACACTCTTTCTTCCTCCCACTCTCTCTCTCTCTCTATCTTCTTCTGGCAGCCAGGTCTGTTCAGTCCTGCTGAAGGAATGTCAGTGTGTGTCGAGTGGGTAGGAGATGGTAGATTTGACAGACATACTGAGGTGCGAACAGTGCTGCTCATGCATAAGGCATCCTCAGGTGGACTGAGCCGATGTCAACAATGTAAAACATTCAAAAATTAGGATGAAGATTTGGCTTTTAGGTTGTTATTTGACCATTAATGAGAAGCAAGTGGTTGTGTGTTGCTGGAGTTATGTAAGCAGTGCAATGTCCCCACATGCATAAATTAGATTTCCAAGTATTCGAGGCCATTCTTTGATCTAACCCTCTCATCAGCAGCAGACTTTGGGCTACTCCCTGTCCAGGTGGTCGTGATTCACTCGACCCCTGGCGCTTGTCCAGTATCAGATGTTCATGGTAATTTGTCTCCCAGCCCACATGCGGCTGGCCTTTGTATGTTGGAGAAAACAGACCTCCTGCTAGCAAAACTTTAATAATTTACAAATGCGGTAATAGTTGCACAACATGGTCTTGAGCTGAAAGCACCAGTTCTTTTTCAGTTTGGTGGGCTGGGTGCGCTGTTGGATCGTGTTTTTGACTGAGGAGAAAATAAGGGATGGTATAAAGCAAACAAGCTCATTAGGCAGACATCAAAAGATTCAGTTTGTCACTATATAAGGGGACAGTCTTACAGTCCTACAGGAAAAGGAACATGATTGAGTGCAAGACAAATAGAGTGAAAGGAAAATTGGTGCGGTGGTCCTGACCAATCCAGTGTTCTACCTCGGGTGTTATCATACTCCTTCAGCCTTTTGAGGATGTTCACTCATACGGTCATCACTTAAGCTTTTTAGATTTATTAATCATAAAAACTTTGAGTCAGTATTAGATTAGTCAGCCAGAGAATAGACAGAGAACATAGAGTGGGATGACATGCAGTGAATCCTGGTGGACTCAGTCCTGTGATAGGTGTAACGTGTTTAGTAGGGCAGGGAGAATAAATCTATTCACATAAGTATCACGATTATTTGTTTTACAATTTTCTAATTGATTTTTTTTGTTCACAAATCAATTTTTTTTTCATATTTAAGAATAAATCTAAAACTCCCCTTTTCATTGGCTATTTGTATTGTCTACCAAAACATGGCAGAATGCAGGCTATCGAAAAGGATATTGACAATATTTCATATCGATATTAAGAGAAATTAATTTTTGATATATACCATTATCGTTTTATCGCCTAGCCCTAGCAAGAATTTTCTGCACAATCTTAGTAGATGTATAAAAAACTACAATACAACATTTCCTGAAGTTTTGTAGCTGCGTTGGCTTCAATGTATAATTTGCATCAGAACTTTTATAAGAGAAAGCTGGAACCTGAGATAATATTGCACTGTACACAGAACAGCCTGTTTGTAGACAGACATCACTCTGCCACCCTACAAACATTTCAGTGAATGTAATTTTTGAACGTCTGATATTGAAAGCAAACAAACACAGAGAGAAGGTGAGCAGAAAACAAAAACAAAACTCTGACTTTATTTGGTCCTTCTCAAGATACAGTAACTCCTTCAATTATTAACAACACCAGATGGGAATCTCATCAACCCTGGTACATTGTTGAAAAATTCATAGAGCAGAGGGATAAAGTCAGGAAAATGTCACAAATATCGGATACTTTCAGTGTGGATAGCACATGTTTGTGCTGCAGCTGCAGAGTTTAGGAACAGCAGAGAGAGCCAGAAGTTCGAAGCTGTAAGGAAGAAGGTGATCAGGTCAAGTGACAAACATTTTGAATCAGGTTACAATACTAATAGATGTCTAAATGCAGATTAGAAGACTGGTCTAAAATCAGGCTACCACAGGTCTAAAAATGAACGCTTTCAGACATCTTAAATTTAGACCAGGTTTCGACTAAATCTAAATCTGGGCTATATCTAAACTACACTGTATACTGCTATCATAAATATTTTGGTTAAGTACTTGGAGATCAGTTATGCAACTCGCAGTTGCTTTTTGGAAAATAAATAATTATCGTATAATGGGTTAAAGTGCAACGTCTTAATTCCATCTAAAAATATACAGAATCTAGACGGTTGAAATTAGGTCTAAAAAAAACTAGACGTCTAATAGCTGTATGTTGCTCAGTGGGATGGTCTGAAAACTAAATATTCAAATCTTCATTATGTGCAAATGGATATTTAAGGCACATAAAAACAGGAAAACACCTCTTAATAATCAAACATTGAAGTCAGATCATTTTAAACCTGCGTGTTTGTTGAATAGCTGAGTAATAGTTACCAGTCGACAGCTCTCCACTCAAATATGTGGAGTGTGTTTACAGACTTTCTGTTAGTTTACCCTTGGAAGAGGAAAGAAAAACTGTCCTCCATGGTGAGATAAGAGGCATACTTGAGGATATGAAGAGAGAGAAAGTGAAGGTAAACATGGGTGCAGCAGCTTTGGCTGATCCAGCATGCTGGCTGGCTCTGTTGCTATCGTGATCATGCAGCCCCTGCTCGTGGCTGTCCACCCAAAGCGAAAGTCAGGGCGAAAAACTGAGGCCAGCGAATGAACAGTGTGGCCAAGATGGGGACAAAAAGAGATGTGTCACTAATACACATGGTTAGGATTCATTTCTGATCCAGGATATCTCTGAGGTTTCATGCAATTAAACAAACGTGTCTGAGCTTGGGTTTCGCTATTGCACTTATTAGACAGACTCGGCATTGTTAGAACATGACTGATCCACTTTAAATCCTCTTACTTAACCATTGTTATTCTAAAACTGTAACAATGCTGCTTCATAATCTTTTGTAGGACTATATAATTAAAACTCTCACAAGCCTTCAAAGAATGTTAATGAATAAATGTTTCCACTTCCTCCAGTGAATAAGTGATGTGTAGTAACAGCCTTAGGTTACTTGCCCTGCAGAAGAATGAACCCAATCACTTACACACATGGAGGGAAAAACGAGTTTTAATTTGTGAATTTCTATTTAGGTTCATCATTTATTTTGTTGTCTATGAGATAAACACAAGAGGAGTGTAATAGACAGTGAAAACACTACTCTACCTGCCCGCCTCACTCACCTTCCTTTTATGGAAGAGGAATGTCCTGGCCCCCTAATATCTAAGGCGTGTGTGCACATGTCTGTGTCTTTCTGTGTGTGCGCATTTCATATCACCCTGCCATCTGCATCGCGACAAGACAGCTCAACCCATAAATCTGAGCGCAGCATTTTTTCTCTTGGCTGCCTGCATTTATTACTCGTTTATCATCGATGAGTGACCACCTCTGGGAGAAAGAAATGAAGTTATAGCCCCTCTCGCAATCACCATTTTGGCCCGCTGACCCGCGTCATACTTTCCTTCTCTCCTCTCTCGCAGGTATTGGCCGGTGCTCAACTGTTTCCAGCAGAGTGTTCCCCCCAAGTCTTTTTAATTTTCTGCACTCCAAAAGAAATGCTAATCTCTTAATTCTTGACCTGTGGGTGGACTTAAGGCATCATCACGCTGTAAAATGTTTTATGGCCTTCACAAATCCTCGGTGATTATTGTGGATTTTGCTGCAGGCTGAAATAACAACGAACCATAAAGCAATTCATGTGTTTTTATTGATTAGTTCAGTGTCTCACATGCTGTCTTCAAGGGAACAATTAAAGCCTTTCCTTTTAAATTATTCCTGTTGTTTTATTGGCATGAAATTTTCGCCGCCTGATGAGAAGTAATCAAGAGTTTCTAACATGTCCTCCCTTGTTTTTCTCTTTTGATCCTCACCTCCCTCCTCCGCTGCCTCCTCCTCCTCCTTCTCCAGCTTGGCGGTGATGAGAGAAGAGTGGACAGTCGGACTATCTACGTTGGCCATCGGTCATGTTCAACCACTGAGGCTTTCATCCCACCCAAGTTCTGTGATAACAGGATTGTGTCCTCTAAGGTAAAAAAAAAAGGCACTCACACACACTCGTATCCCAACACTCCAGTCATGCCCTTACACTGAGATGAAATTCATACACCTCTCAGTTTGTTTCTCAACTCCTCTGCATATTAGGCTCCAGCTGCCCTCAGGAATTTTTCATCTCTTATCTAACGCTTGGAAGGCGAAATGAACTCTTGAATAGTCCTGAGCATTCCTGTGTCTTTCCTGCCTCTATTCCTCCTCCCACTGCTGCTCCGCATGCTCATCCCCGCTCCCTACGGTAGGAGATTATTTGTCTGTCAGGGGAGCAGCGGCTGTGGCAGTGAAATACATGGCTGCTATTAATGTACTAGCAGGGTGGGCATTTCGGTTGTCTCCCCATGGGCTCTGATGGACCTCCCTCCCCCTTTTCCCACTAAATCTCAACAGTCAGTCCTTTGTCAGCGACATGCTCAGATAGGTTAGCGTAAGGATATGGAGGGTGATATGGGGGGAAGGAAGTAGGAAGTGCAGTGTGTGAGAGTGAGACGGGAGCGGGATTTATAGTGGTGCAGAGGGTCCCAGTGAGGATGGGCCAATCAATCGGCTCTTGCCAGTATGTCAGGGTAAACAGCCTTTAATTACCCCGGCTGTAGTGTTTATGCTCCTCTATGCCTCCGCTCTCCATCATCCTGTTGCTTTTGCACTCTGCAATGACCAATCTCCGCCTCTCCTCCTTTCACTCTCATTGCTGCTGCACCAACGCCACGCGCCGCTCAGCTACCCTTGCTCCTGCCGCCCCCCCCTTTTCTCATTACTTTTACTCTCTTTTCTCCCTAGCAAAATGAGATGGGCCTTTCTGCTGCTGCTGCATTTCAACACTATCCCCATGCAGACATTCCCCCTTCATAAACACTGCTTTATTGCCATTTCTTAGCGATTTCCCTGTGTATGCGCATTTGTGGTTTTTCACTGAGATACTTTGTAGTGTGACACAAAGTTACCAGCGATGTATTGTCTGAGCAGATTAAAGTGCTGGATGATATCAGCAGTCATGGCCACTGAAAAAAAAAGAAGAAAACACACAGGAACAGTCACCAGCCTGATAAGTTCATCGGCTCAGTGTTCAAAGGTAGCCAAATTAGGGAGATAAATCACTAATCACAATCAATGGACTACCTGTGGTACCCCAAAGGCTGTCTCCTGAGGCGAAACAAAAAAACAGAGACTCTGAGCTATTGAAGTTGCCCCTCCCCCGTCAATTTAGACCGAATTCACACATGCAAGAGTGTGTGAATATTGAACGCCTCTATTTCTCTTCCTCCTTGTCAGGCTGTTCTTTAACTTTCCAAATTCTAAGTAGACAAACATTATCACTGACTAGGAAAAGAACACAGAAAAGAGCAGTTCAAAGCAGCCTTCAGAAGCTGTAATAAGTATGTCATCGAACTCGGATTCACATGAATGTTTTTCTTCTTTTCTTCACAGTATACCGTGTGGAACTTTCTACCAAAGAACCTGTTTGAACAGTTTAGGAGAATCGCCAATTTTTACTTCCTTATCATCTTCCTGGTGCAGGTAAGGACACGTATTGTCTGTGCTCCAGCCCAAACAAAGATTCGAGTTTTCATTGCTTCCCTATATTGTTAAATAATGACTTTATGGGTGCTGTTTTTCCGTTCTGGTTGAATTGATTTGAAACAAAGCCCATGTGTGCATGTCTAATGCATTATCCGACAACAGTACGGGGCATGTTCAGTGCAGTAGATGATCTTTTTTACAACCTGTGAAAACATCTCTCACATGAGAAAGAGTGTGAGTGAGAGCCTATTTGCATGTTGTGAGGGTGGGTGTGAAACAGTCACCACAGCGTGTTTGTGATCATAGCAGGTTTTTCTGCAGCTCCCTTTAACCTCGGACAGCATGTGTAGGTGTGTGTGTTTATTCTAATTCTTTTAGAGATAATGGACTCAGAACAGACAGATAGTTTTAAACTCTGTAGTTTTGCTCGCTACCTTTTTACTGTGTACATGTGTTGACATTTTTATGTCATATTCATCGTTGTTTTTTAAAGCTTTGGGGAGTAATAGTTAAACCAAAGGGAAGCGAATCATTCAAACTTCATATTTAGGTATGAATATTTGCTTTCATTGAAGTTGCACTCTAACAGAACATTTTCTTAATTTTCCCAAGGTGAGACATTAAATCAAGTCATCTGGCCTATATTGCATCAAGAGCATTCATAGATTTCAGTTTACATACAGTGATACAAAGGTCAATCTGTCCGTATCCACTTAAATAACAGTCTGGCAGTATGAAGTTCACCTCGTTCAACCGTTAAGTGTTTTATCACAGAGTTGTCAGAACATGTGCAACCCAATTAATGGATTTTATTACAGGCTATTAGAAACTACTCAGGGGCATGTAGATATCCTTTATCGGGCTCGTTTCTGTGGAATTACTTCAGAATAAGGTCACAAAGTTCAAAAGATGAATCAATATGAAACTTTGTTTCCACACCAACCCGTCCCTGTAAGAAATAACAGGATATTACCAAAGATTTAGCATAACAGAAGTCAAACGTGTTTGTTTAGCATATCCTATTGTAGCATCAGTGCCTTAGAGCACCGTTTAGTCCAAGACTAATTTCCCATTGTAGCAATAAAGCCTATCTTATCTTATGTTATCTATAAAGAAATAGATCATTTCACCAGATAGTGTTTTTTTTGCCCTATCCTCTTAAGTGCAAACTGTCAGCTGGCCAAGACTGCTGAGTGTAATACATTGACTGGCATCCTTATTCCCCTGCTCTGTGCTCTCAAGTGACCTCTCCTCTCCTCTCCTTTCCCTTTCTCTCCTCTCCTCTCCTCTCCTCTCCTCTCCTCTCCTCTCCTCTCCTCTCCTTCCCCTTTCCCTTTCCCTTTCTCTCCTCTCCTCTCCTCTCCTCTATCTCTTATTTTTTGTTTGCCGTTTTCCTATCCATAACGATAGAAACTGATGCCCCTGTTTTTAGCATAACCTAAACCATGGTTTCAAACAGTCCTCTAGTGTAAACAGGTGCGTGTGATGAGCCTGCTGCTCAGGAGGGATGTGCTCTCTGTTGTCATATACAGACCAAATGAGCTTACATAGTGACTGCTCCCAGAAGCCCAGCACTTTACTCAACTGAGAAACATCACTGTGCTGCTGCCGCCACACACTAATGCCATAATTCTTGAGTCAATGGCAGCTCTATCCCTGTGTTTACATTCCCTATCTGACCCTTGTTTCTACCCGTATTTTCAGTTCACATTTCAACCTTTTCACTCCAGTCAGTCTGTTTCAGCTTCATCCTCTCCCCAGTTAGTAAAAAAAGGTTCTGGATCATGAAGAGTTTGGATCTAATGTGTGAAATTATTGTGAACTAATGCAGGAGCAAAACGTCAAGCATGTTTGCATCATGCACACAAACATGCAAGGATTATCAGTCTGTGTGTGATGAGGGCAGCGTTGAATGTTTGTTGGTGTATGAGCACATTGTATGTCTGTGTATGTGCCTGTTTGTGTGTGTGTGTGAGGCATGACTCAGTGGGTGTCCTGGGTTTGCTGACGGTGTTTACCCTCGCTGCAGCGTGGTTGGCGTTTCTCCACTAATCCAGCCTCTCTTGAGGGGGCTCCTTATCCTAACCACTCAGTTTTTCCCATGCAGCCTGCTATTATATCACAGAGAGGGGATGAGAGAGAAACAGGTACACAGGCTCTTTGCGCTCTTTTTTTTTTTTCATTATGTCTTTGAATTTGACAGAAATGAACCTTTTCACTTCCCCTGAAAGGTTTCATGCAAATACTCAACCAACGACCAAATGCCGTGCAACCTACAACTCTTTCCCACCCTTCTTTTGTCTCTCCCTTTTGTCATTTGGTCTCTTTTTTTCCCCATCTTTCTCCCCCTCTCTCTCCCACATTCCACCCATCTCTCTGCAGCGCTGCACTGCTGACGTCAGCAGCAGGAAGCCCTCTGTACTTCTGAGAGCCACAAATAGACACAGGCTGATAAAAAAGCACCACTCGGCTATAAATAGCTCTGCATGTCTTTGCTCGAATTTGATCGAACTGGAATAGAGAGGGGCGAGAGAGTGAGAGAAACAGCGATGAGAGGGGAAGGAGGAAAAGAGAGAGAGAAGGAGAGGGTGAAAGGGTGGGAGGACACGAGAGGCCCACAGCACTGCTCTGGGACCCCGGGAACCTGCTGTCTGTCGCTCACTCTGACACACTTCCCCGGCACAGATGAAGGGCTTTGTGCTGCTCTGTTCTGCAGCTCTCATATCGCACCAACACATCAGCAGCGGCAAACACTCTTCACTCATATCTCTCAGGTTTTTTGGCTTTGCATTTGGTGCAGAGGAGGAAAGGTATCTGGCCATCTGGAAGTTGAGGAGGGATTGTTTTGAATCAGGGCAGATAAACTGTGTAAGTCGAGCTCTGGGGGAATTATGTGTTGTTTGGCTCCCGTACAGTAGAGGAAGGTTTCTGGCGGTTTTAGTGCTCTTTAAAGTTTGCTTTTGCAGCGTTTTTCTATCGGGCAGTTTGAACCCTTATCCTACTCTGAAATGAGGTCTGTCCTTGATGCTGTGAAGCTTGAGTCATCCTGTATCACTCGCTTTTGTAGTGTGACATGATGAAAGAAAGCATTTTTATAGTATCACTGATGACCACTAAAAAAAGACACTAAATTGATCTGTCTCTTTTTATAGTCCTTCATTGAACAATTCCCATCAACACCCTCAAAGAGGAGCCAAAGAAATCACAATCAAACAACATTTGAGCTGAAAGTCTTTGTGAGGCGTTCTCTGTGTACTGCAGTCACACTTTTTCAAGTCTGGCCATCTGGCTGCTGCATCAGAGGGACATCATGTCCTCAATTGCTCCTGTAGTTGCTTTTTTTACTCCCTGTGATCAGCCAATCTTCAATCTAGACATGTGGAAAGATGTATTGACCTGTTATGGGCAAAAATGAAATGCTCAATCACTATCACCATTTACTGTCAAGAACGTGTGGGACATAAAGTACGGATGTGTCAGTACTTTAACATATTGAATTAAGCTTACATGAGGGTCGTCTCCTTCTCCCTCTCAATCAGTGTTAATTTAGTTAAAGTGAATTATGATGAAAGATGTTCAGCAATGACCTTCTTTTCTATGATGGAAACGAGATGAGGCTGAGCTGGAATACATTTGATCATAATAAAAACTCAGACGAACAGATGTTTGGTCTTAACATAATGTTGACAAGCCAAAAACGTTTTCGGTAGACCATTGGACGTAGGGCTGGGTGATATGGCCATCATCAATATCACAATCAATATCACAATACATTGAGCAGTTCACCCTGATAACGATAAATGGACGTCAGCTCCAGCCACTACAACTTTTGAACCGTCCTCCATCTCCCCACCTGTCTTTCGCGGGTGGAGTCACGTCTCCGAAGTAGGACAGTGTCTTAAAGGGACATGAGACCATAGCCTACCTACACAAATCCAAAACCAACTTTTATTTAATTATTTTTTCGACACCCAATATATTGACATGGGCAAAGTGACGTCGACTATTTTCGTAGATTTTGGTATCTGTAAATTTTTGGTTTATCGCCCAGCCCTAATTGGACGTTAAAATCTATCCTATTTTCTCATCTAATCCGTCACTCTAAATACAAGCACTGCATTCCTGTGACAGGACGAGCAAAAACCTTTAGAAATGTGCGAAGATTGTGCAGTTGTGAATCCAAATCGAAAGTTATTTACTGACTCTTCTTCAGTGTATTTTTTACACATATAGGGTTGCTCTCTATGATCATGAATCTCCACTCCTACTCTGCAGGTAACAGACTTCATAGACAACATTATGAAAGAGAGAAAGAGCTTATACCTTTTCAGAATACGCTATTACAAAAATACCTATTAGATATTGGTAGCTCTAGCTGTTCTAACTTATGTATTTCATTGCTATAATGTATAAGTATCCTTTGTGTTCTTTCAAAATCACAGCATTTTTCTCATCAAAACCATAGACTGTTTCAAAACATGGACAGCAGAACAGCTACTGGCTGCAGCAGAAGCCATACAGCCCACCTCCTCCTTTATAACAAATGGGGCATGGGTCAAACTACACGTCATGTCAAATACATTTTTATCAGTCATGTTTTCTGCCATGATGGTTCTTGTCATGCTGATTCATGTGAATGTGTTTAGAGAAGTGTGGTTCTGCAATCATCAGCTCAGTGTGTCAGGGCCATAGACGGTATATAGTATAGACAACGTGGCTCAACCTTCCGTCATTGTATGAATTTGAAGCTAAATTGCTCTCGGTATTTCCGGGATTTTCTCCATTTCCTGAAATCTGCAGGAGTACAAATGTGCGAGCATCACAAATAACTGTCTCAAGATGCAACATCTTGCCTTCTAACATCTTAGTAAATGGAGGGAAATCGTGTTCTGAACCCAGCTGGATGAATCGTATGATTTGAGTGTATCGCTACATGTCTAACTTTGAGGATTTGGTCGGTCATACAGTAATGGCTCAGCAGAACCAGGTTTAATAGATATTTCCTCAAGAGAGACCCTCTTCCAGGTGCACATGTAGTGATGCGCCATATGTATGGGTCTTTAACACAGAGCACCATTTGTTATCCACATGTGCACACACTTTTCCTTTCCTCCGGCTGTCAACACCTGAGGCTGCTGCAGCAGAATTATTACTCTCTGCTAGAATCGCCAACCACTACAGATATAATGCAGACTCTCTGAATCTACACTCCTCCAAACAGTCGAGGTGCAAAAGTCCATTTCTGCTGGATAATTGATTCCTCCTCTGGTAAATTGTAATCACAGTAAAGCTTGGGGGAGCTACCTCTTCACAGCTGATGTACTTAATTTGAGTGTGTGTCTGCATGCAGGTGTAAGATGAAGTCTGTGAGGGTTCAGAATGTGACTGCATGTTCAGGTCTGTTCGTGATTACGTGGTGCTCCAGGTTTGTTTTTGTTCTCAACTCAAACTCAAGTGAATAAAAACACAGGAGGCTGCTTCAAAACGCATCTCCTGCTCTTCCCTGAGCTGATGTCTGTCTGACAGCGTGTAATGCTCCTGGTCGGAATACCAACAACAAGCTGGATATGTCGTGCCTGTGCGAGCCTGAACACGCACGGTGGGGGACCAGTCTGCTTTCTGCAGGATCAGAAATGCCAGAGTAAATCCACCTCATGATGGTTTTAAGAAACACACAAACACACAAGGGCATTTTTATACTGAGGTTTAGCTCCGGCCTTGGTCAGGTGCTGCCTCTAAGCTGGTTGTTAGGGATTACCCGATCACTAGGCCCACTCTTAATTCTTGTTAAGGTACACTGTGCCTGGGTTGTATTTTGTCAGTCAAACTAAATTTGGTGATCAACGTTAAGCTTTCACTATTTTTACCCTTTTTTTTAGTCTAGCACAACATCTAATCATCTTACAAAGGTTTTTTTTGCTGTATGACTCATGCTTAATGGAGTCTGCATTAAAACATTAGCTGTCTACTTTTTGAGTGTTTTTCACTGTCATGTTAAAAGTTTTTAAAAGAGGTTGGTGAATTTATTGGACTAGTGAGCTAAATTTAGCTCTCAGCTCTGGAAACCAAAGAGTGTTAGGGAAGCACAGATTTTTACAGTGGAAGAGTATCCCTTTGTTTTCTGACTTTTAATTATCTTTAAAAGATGGGCTCTCTGCTGCACTTCAGAAATCTTCACCTTGACGCTGAGCACCCTAAAAAAGGCGAACAGCAGCTCAGTTCTTGGCATCCTTATATCAGCCGAGAACTCTTGTACAAATTGATTACGTTTTATTGTTTTTCCAGATTAAACACAGTGTGAGTGATTTTTTTCCACTTTTTTAGTCAACTGAATAATTAAAAATCCTCTCCCCTGCCTCTTTGCACTAAAATTACAAGTTGGTTAACTTATAAATCAACTCCAAAGATCAATGTGTTGGTCATATGTGCGTCCAAGCTGTATCACAGCAACCTAGCACCACCTGGGGCTGTAGCTCTTGTGAACAGCTGCTGCCATTCTGTGAAAATGCTCAACTACTCGGATTAAACAAGCAAAAAGGAAATCTAGTAGTGCAGTTTGGGAGTATTTTAAAAATAGAAAATCAGGGTTCCTACACAGTTGGAATCTCCATACTTTTCCATACCCTACTTTTTCGAATTATTTTTGGACATACCTACTTTTCTATTTGAAAAACAGTATTTTAGAACTGTGGTAATCGTCTAGAAACATAAATATTTTTCCATAATTTATTTTCATTTTCCATACTTTTTAAGATCTGGAAATTGATCAAATTTATTTTCATACTTTTCCATACTTTTGTAGGAACCCTGGAAAATGGAGATAAAGTTGTATGTAGGCTGTATGTAATTAAATAGGCATCCAACTACTTTGATTTAAGCAATGTGTAACCAACGCAGCCATGTGAACAGTAACCTGAAAAGAGTACCTTAGGCTGATGGTGCTAATATTGCTAATGTTAGCTAAAAAAAGAAAAGGAAATAGGATGTTAAATACATGCTACTGAATTTCAACTGTTACTGAGTGTGTTCTTACCCTGAGACTCTAAATCTAATTTGAATGACAAGGAAATGAGAATATCCTGTAATGATGAACATTAAAGGGCTATTTTGTGAAGTTTTCATGCTGTTCCTCCTGCATTATTCTGCACAGAACACTGCAAAATATCAACAGCGCACACAAAGCCAGTTACCTTAACCTGTTTTAGACTGATGATTTTGATAGTCCAGTTTAAGGAGGCTGTCTTAAAACTGGTCATAAAAATATGTGACATACAACCTAGCTTGAATCACACAGCTCACTCAGGTAAGGTTGGTTCAGCAAAGCTTTATGTTGGCACTCTCCCATGCCTTGGCAGAGACACAGAAATGCTGGCATGCCCGAAGCTTAAGCACTCTGTCCCTTACCCACTTGATTAAAAGTTCTGTGGTCCAGAACCTCATTGGCTCCCTCTGCAAAATATAATGTCTCCCCTGTGTTTCCTGCTGATGAAAAAAGGGGGTGGATAGTAAAAATGCCTAAAAGAAAGCGACTACACCCAGTATTTAGAGGGCATGCCTCATCTTTTAAACTCCACCACTAGCTCCTCCCTCTATGACCACAAACATGTGCTGCAGTACACAATGCCTTTTAGTTTAGTTTCAAGGTCATGTGTTTATTTAAGAGTATTTCTTTCTGTCCCAACAAGGTGATAGTGGACACCCCCACCAGCCCAGTCACCAGTGGCCTACCCTTATTCTTTGTGATCACAGTAACGGCTATCAAGCAGGTAAGACGTCACTGGATGTTGTTGATGAATGTTGATAATATCCATCTCTTTGTGCTTTCTATCCCTCATGTTTCTTCTTGTTGTCTCCCTGCATTATATCCTCCCTCCATCTCTTTGAGACATAATAAGTCCTCCCGACTCTTTCAGTCCCTCGCAGTGATTTTTGTATAAAGTACGTGACTGCTGCTTTCTCAAGTTTTGAATAAATGTTCCTCAGTGGTGAATTCTGAATGGGGAAATGGAGACGAGATAGGCTCTGGGGAAATGTGAAAAAAGTGGGGATGGGGAGAGAGAGTCTATTACAGAGATACAAATTATCCAGCAGAGAGCCGTTTTCTTTGAATCTGTTACTGCTACGCCTCAGCTTTAGATGTATTGTTTTAGGATTGGCTTTTTTAGTTAGACGACTGCTGGGGCTTTGAAACACACAATAGTGGGTGGACTTCCTTGTGGAAATATGTGGGGTGCACTGATAGTGCTGGCCTGCCTTCAGACAGACTTTAAAGTGGTGGGACTCCAAGGCGATCCACCTGACTCCATTAGTCAGGCTGAGGTGAACTGTACACTTCGACTGACCATCCGTGGAATGCCTCCCCTGCTTTCCTCCCCCTTTCAACCACCTGCCATCAATGCTCTGCATCTCTCAGTCGACCTTCTCTGTCCTCCTGTCACCTTCTCTGGTTATTCCACATTTTGGCTCTAACTTCCTCTTGGCACACGCTGTGGTTTACTTCTCTAGTAACCTCAGCATCTCCTTAATCTCCATCACTGTCTTGAAGTACTTAAGAAGTCCACACCAAGCTCTGTGCCTTATGTTGCTGCTCCGGCAGCCCCGGAAATTATGATTATCCCTGACTCAGTATTACTTCACAATATACTTTTGCAGTTCAATGCAGTGACTATCCAATCCTGCTGCTATAGACACTTTTTTTTACATAGTAATGCAAAATCTATGGATCTCAATATGGGACAACCCTGATTATTCGACGTTCCCCTTTTCAAAGACCAACCCACTTTTGGACTTTGGACTTTATGGCATTTCTTTTTTGGGTGTTGGATTGTTCTTTAAATACCTCTGCTACATTGACAACTGTTTTCATAGTAAAGGCATCCTAACTCTGTCTCAGTCGTCATGTAACTTGTCCTACTTTTGTGCTACTTTGTTCTGGCCACCTTGTCATTTTTTATCCCCTTGGTGCCGTAGCAGTGATTGACAGCTTGCCTCAGTCACAAGGGAAACACTCGCTTTGCAGAGTGGCAATGTCCACTGTTTTGATGGATATTGACATTTAATCACAAAACCCTGAATTTAAGATGTTTCCACTTCCTCCAAATATATCTTGTGAAAAAATCTCATAATATCTTGTGGGTTATGATACCGTAAAAAACATTTTTTTGCATTTTTCTAATACTAGGCAAATAATCTAAAACTGAATCTGATATTTTGCTGTAGGGCTATGAGGACTGGCTACGGCACAAAGCTGACAATGAGGTGAATAAGTACCCAGTGACAGTGCTGGAGGACGGCCGGAGGATACGGAAGGAGAGTGAGAAGATCAAGGTACCTTTTATATTTCCTTGGAGACTTGTCCAAAGAGAAGCTCCTGGCAGCTTGACATGACAGTGTTTGCTATAAATTCTCATGGGGGAACATGCTCTGCTGAACTGATTACATTTTCAAACATAGCTTTGGTGGTAATTATGTATTCAGGGTGAGTTGTGCAGGCATTTCTCCAATGCATTCTTATCTGATTGTGGTATGTGACAGTATTTTCAAAGATTTGTGGGCAGAACATGCATGAAATACTCTAACAGAATAGTAATGATATTACTTCTGGTCATATCAGAGGGGCTACTAGTGCAGCTGACACCACAGAGAAACCGTATCCAGCTGTCATAACCAAAGTGTTGTCACTCTGTGGAAGCCTTTTGACAGCTGCATCCTACGCAGGAGCTCACACAACTGTAGGCCACCTCCTGTTGCTAAAAGGACAAGAGCTCAAGTAAACATTTAGTTAAACACAGAGCGCCAAGTTTTTTGTGTCTGTGGACCAAATTGGAGCCAAAAGCTGGGGGTTTATTGACCAAGTGTTAAACAGAGAAGAAGGCAAGAATTCTCTTGTCGCTCTGTTTATGCTTAATCTCAGAGTACAATAGGTACTTGTTTACTCATTGAAAAGTAACAGTGATGGGTTTAATTTGAAGTCTTCCTGCTTCTTAGAGGTAACAAACTTGCCATTGTTTAAACTTCCACTTATCCTATAATAAACTCTTATCAAGAAGGGAATGAAAGCAAACCGTTAAAGCCCTCATAAGTGGTGCTCAGCTGTGTTTGTTTGATCAGGTTGGAGACGTCGTGGAGGTGGAGGAAGATGAGACCTTTCCCTGTGATTTAATACTGCTGCAGTCGAGTCGAGACGACGACACATGTTTCGTTACCACAGCAAGTCTAGATGGAGAGTCCAACCACAAAGTAAGCAGGGCTGCTCTGCTGTCCCTCATCTGCCTGTTGTTCATAACACAATGTGTCTGTTTCATATATTTAATATATATTCGAGCCGTTATTGTGTTTCAGTCTGAGTCACAATGTATAGGTGTCTCTCTAGTTCTCCTGTAGTATCTGTGAACATTAGAAAGAGGAAAGCTAACCTGATCCACTGTCTGCTCTACCTCCTCCACAGACACACTACACAGTGCCAGACACAGAGAAGGATCTGGAGTCTCTCAACGCCACCATTGAGTGTGAACAGCCACAGCCTGACCTTTACAAGTAGGAACTTATCATGTGGCCTTAACAAGTTTACACCACAAGCATGCGTTGCCCGTGGTTTCTTTAGTCGTGTGTTAAATCAATACTGGTTGAAAGTGTGCCAGATGACCCTAATGTCCACAGTTGGACTTTTCAGTAAAAAGGTCCCCATGGGCCTTGGTTTGTTTGTATCAGAGGAAGCAAAAATGGGCCCAAAATTTTCAGCTAATTTTGATAAGCCCGGTGCAAAGCTGTTCATGATTACTCTCTGGGAAATCAGATCAGTCCACAGACATCCTGTGGCTCCCCCTCGGTGCAAGGAGTAAACATTTTGTCATCTAGCCAGGCTTCAGGGTGGTGTTTGAGACATGCAGAGTAAGCAATGTTGCCAAATTCCTGCTATTTAGAGTCAATAAAAGCCTTCCTGGCTAACCAGAAGTAATTAGCAGGTTCCCAAATCTTTGCATCTGATATTAAGTCAACGTGTATTTACACTTTTAAAGTAAATGAAGCAAAGTAAATAGATTTTATGATTCAGGTACAAATCCAGTGTTCTGATATTTGTAATGACAACTGTTTATTCTCAGTGTTCGTGTCATTTTGTTCCAGGTTTGTCGGTCGTATGCACATCTACAAAACGAATCAGGAACCTGCAGTGAGGTGAGCGCTTGTCCCCAACTGTCCCAGCCCACTTTCAGTCAGAACTAAATCAAAGCACAGTAGCTTAAGCACTCATTTACTTCCCTTTGAACCACCAACAATTCATTATTCCATTGATCCGTCATTGTAGACAAGCTTCAAAATTAAAACAGGCTGGCATGGCCGCTGCCACTGCTTCCAAAGCTCTCCCACAGGCATTTATCACTGACTGTTTTGTAATGGCCGTATAAACAAATGCCAGTGTCCTTCTCAAGAACACTGGGACTCGTGTAAGCCCAGACCGCAGTCGTTCTGTGTATTGTCACTGCGTATTTTAGAGTGAGTGCCAGCTTGCCTGCCAGGTTTCCATTTAGAGAATGGGGGAGAGTGTGTCGATTACACAGCTTCTGTGTGACTGAGCTGTTTGATGTTCTGATGTGGTTGTGTAGGTCTTTGGGCCCAGAAAACCTGCTGCTGAAGGGGGCAACTTTAAAGAACACCCAGAAAATCTATGGTGAGTCAAAGGCTTGACTTTATCACAGTGAAGTGTGTTAGAGAGGCTCAGTGTCTGAAAATACATCTTTTTTTGTTTCTCTCTTAAGGTGTTGCAGTTTACACCGGCATGGAGACAAAGATGGCCCTCAACTATCAGGGCAAATCCCAGAAACGCTCCGCTGTGGAAAAGTCAGTTTAGAGGAATTGGTGCAAACATGTATTAAATACTTTGCATACCTCGACACACCTTAACCAAACCTTTTCTTTTCCAGATCTATCAATGCCTTCCTTCTGGTTTACCTTTGCATATTGGTCAGCAAGGCCCTGGTGTGCACTACACTCAAGTATGTGTGGCAGGGCAAGCCCGGACAAGATGAGCCATGGTACAACGAGAAAACCCAGAGAGAGAGGGACACCAATCTAGTGAGTTCTGCTTATCCTTGAAGTAAAAACATGAACCCATTAAGGCCTGAATGGCTCAATAACAGTCCATAACAAGCCTGTGTCAGATCAGTTTACATAAACACTGCTCAGACATGTCAGCATAACTTCAGGAGTAAATGTCCGTATTGGACTGCTCTGAGAAAAGCTTAAACAGTCTTGATAGCATTGAACCTGCACACTCTATGAAAGGTAATGCTACTAAAGCTCAAGGACCCTGGTTAATTCAGTCTGTAGTCATACGTTCAGCGCTCAAAGTTTTATTGTATAAAAGCATTTACTAGCCCTGGCCTCTCCTAATAAAACTCCTTTCAGGGAAATGGCCACTGCAGGCCTATATTGTGATATGGTCCATTTCATTGGATGTTAACCCTGTTCCCTCGCCCTCAATGAACTGTAAACATCCAATTGCACCCTGACTTTACCTTGTTTCATATGAGTTGTTAAGACAACATAAGCCTGTATGTCTCAGCTACTGAATTTAAGGCAAACAAAGTCCAGTGTCACCCTTCAGGCTAATTCTGTGATGTGATGCTGAGATATGATGTGTGTTCATGTGTTTGTTTTTCCAACAGTACCTAAAGATGTTCACGGATTTCCTGTCCTTCATGGTGCTCTTCAACTTCATCATCCCTGTGTCCATGTATGTGACGGTAGAGATGCAAAAGTTCTTGGGATCCTTTTTCATCACCTGGGACAAGGACTTCTTTGACCCTGAAATCAAGGAGGGAGCTCTGGTCAACACATCAGACCTGAACGAGGAGTTGGGACAGGTCAGACAGAGGCATCAAACTTAATGACCGTGTATCAAATAGAGATGGGAGAAAAAATCGATACAGCAGAGTATAAAAATAAAATCAACTTTTTGTCCAGTGAGGTTGGCAGAGGTGACATCATGGAGCAGGAGAAAGTTGGTACAACAAACATATATAAGGTTTGCAGGATGCGCTACATTAAGATAAAATACAGTGTAAGTAAGACAAACATAAAGAAAAGGCAAATGCTAAATTAGCTGAATGGTTGAAAAAAATTGTATAAATCACAATATGTTGTATTACAAAACTGACTGCATTGCGAAATGTTAAAAATCGCAATAATATGGTATCGTGGCCCAAGTATCGTGATAATATTGTATCGTGGGGCCACTGGTGATTCCCACCCCTTGTATCTAAACGGCAGCACTCTATGTCTTGGTGGAATTTATTGCTTTCAATTCAGCAGTACCATGTTGTGTTAACTTTTAATTCTATTATTTATGTTTTGAGGCTTAAAAAGTCCTGAAAGGGTCCAAAACAGAGCAGAGTGAACATCAATTAAATCCGACAGACTTTTAACAGTGACACAATATTTTAGCTATATTTTTATGCTTTGTAAAGCTTAATAGAGATTACACAGCACAACCGAATCACACAGCAATTATGTGATGTCCATTAATAGTGTTTTTGTGTAAAACAAAGAACTACAACTTCTTCTCCATGTTTCTGACTCTAGAAAAAAGAAGCTTATAACAGAGTTGGTAAAAAATAAAGCCAAAAACCCTCCCTATTCTCACCTCAAAGGAAGATATTTTGCTTTTAAACTCCTAAAATCTATTCATTTCAAAGGCATCATTTAATTACACAAAAATATTGCACTAAAATTATGTCAAACTGAGCTGCACTAATATTAAAATTCACAATCCATCAGTGTGTATCAGGCCAAATTCAAGTTGGCTCGTACATCATAGACCTGATTAGCTGACAAGTGAGAAACATGTATGATTTGTGTCCAGAAATAGTTCTTAAAGAAAGTGTCTTTCTGTTCAAGTTCAGCCTTGAAAAAGTCCTAAATGTACTGTATAATGGAGTAATTAAGCTTACACTAGCTTCTGTGCCAGTTCTCTTGATGGTTTCTCAACCAGGAAGCTGAGCTGGCTTGGATCCCGTGAAGATAATGCACTCACTATTGACAAATACCTCATACAACCCCAACTAAAGAGAATCGTCCTTTTAAAGATGAAAGAAAAGCAAAACTAAAGAGAATCATCCTTTTAAGATGAAAGAAAAGCAAAGCTGAGTTCATTGCTCCTTTTGGCCCACAGATAAGTTTGTTTAGTTCTTCTCTAAATACGAGCTGCTTCTAATCGCACCAGATTGCCCGCACTGTCCTGACTTCACCCGTTTTATCGCACTCCTGACTCAAACAGCACTGCCATAGATCAGTCACACTTGGTTTGCCAGATTATGACTTCAATTAAAGGCGATGCTTCGTTAACCAGATTAATGCAGCGTAATTCTTTCTCACAGTAACTGCCTCGTCTTATTGTTTGGACTTGTTAAATGGGCAGGCAGAATTTTTTTACGGGTCTGAATTTGTACATTTATCACACTGCCTGCAGGTGGAGTACGTCTTCACAGACAAGACAGGCACCCTCACCCAGAACAACATGGAGTTCATCGAGTGCTGCATTGACGGCTTCCAGTACAAGTACCGTGACGCGAGCTCGGAGCTGGATGGGTTCTGTGTCACAGATGGACCTGTGAGCAAACTCCAGCAGAAAGCCGGCAGGGTGGGTGTTTGTGGTGTCCCTCCATCTGCTGTTAAAATCACACGAGCGGCAACATATGGCCATTACATAGCTGGCTGCTCAGAAAGCCCCTTCACAGGTCACCCACATACATCCTCTTTGACATGTCAACACAAGCACTCAACATGGAGGGGGAGCAAATTGACTGTGTGCTCTTAACACGAGCACCTAACACTTTACAGACGGTTTCACTTCAACACGCATGTTGATAAGACGTCTGTGTAAACTAATACTTATTTATCCTCGGCTTCATCTTAACTTCAGCTTCTGTTTATGGCTTTTAGTGAGGCTGTAAATTAATAAATTATTGATTAAAAAGTCAAAGTCCAATTTACTGTATCTTAACAACATTCCCTGTATCTCATTTTACTGTTTTAAACCACATCTGACATCACCAGGAGAGGGAGGAGCTGTTCTTGCGGGCCCTGTGTCTGTGCCACACAGTCCAGGTGAAGGAGTCTACAGAGCAGGGTCAAGGTCAAGCGGATGGACTGATAGACCAGGTTGATGGCTTAGGGGTGGATGGAGAGGTGCTCCATCCACAGCAGGAGCTGAGGGGTTTTATAGCCTCGTCACCTGATGAGGTTGCTCTGGTCAAAGGTGCCATGAGGTAAGGAACAGGCTGACATTATCTTATGACACTGTAAAAGATCATTACTTGAATATGAATGAACTCCAGAGGCTATACATTTCACTACAGCACGTCTTCCTGTAGCCTATCAGCATATTAATAACTCATTTGTGATGGTTTGTCTCCATCTGTAGGTACGGCTTTACATTTCTGGGCCTCGAAAGTAAAACCATGAAAATTCTGAACAGGAACAACGACTTGGAAATGTAAGCCGGATATTCTTCTCTTCAATCAAGAATTTTCTCATTACATTACCACAGAATCTTTTATTTTTCTAATTTTATTTCTTGATTTCTAAAGGTATGAACTCCTTCATGTGCTGAACTTTGACCCCGTGAGAAGGCGAATGAGTGTGATAGTCAGATCCAGATCAGGTGAGCTTGAGTTAACAGTCAGGTCTTGTTGTGTAGACTGTGATTCAGCACTGGTGTCTGAATGTTTGTGTACTTTCCCGTCCAGGTGATACACTCCTCTTCTGTAAGGGGGCCGACTCTTCCATCTTTCCACGTGTCAAACAGGAAGAGGTGGACAGAATACGCATGCATGTGGAACGCAATGCAACAGTGGGTGACATAATCAAACCGCCCTCCTAAATCAAGTGTTTTTGTGAAGTTTAAACTCATTTAACGTTTCGATCAAGGACTAGATAGATCTTGAGTTAATGTCATAATGATGACAAACTTTCTGTGGTTCCCAAAGTGACATTGTTTGCTTTGTATCCCACTCCACAGGAGGGCTACAGGACACTTTGTGTGGCCTACAAATACCTCAGTGCAGAGGAGTACGCCCAGGCAGATGCAGGACTGAGGGAAGCCAGGCTGGCTCTGCAGGACAGAGAGGAGAAGCTCATGGCTGTTTACAACCAAGTGGAGACTGGCATGAGTCTGATAGGAGCAACTGCTGTAGAAGATCGGTGGGTGCTCATAACATAACCATAAAGCTCACATGGATGAGTGCTGATCGTGTTCTGTGTGACCTTCCGCTCTTCTGCTTCGCTTTCGAGATCGTTGCCGAGAGTTTCAGTAAAACCCACTTAGATCAAAAAAATGAGGTTTCACCCAAAACTGATGAGGGATGACAAAGTTTTCCAGATAACTTGTCTCATTCTATTTAGTCTTATTATTTCCACAACGTCATTGTTTTATAATGACCGGTTTGTGATGTTGCTCAACAGGATTCTTTCCTCCTTTGTCGAAATTCTGAAGAAGCAGCTTTACAGCTCTCTGCAGATGTTTTATATTTGAGGCGTTTTAGCACCCTACTCCCTCAAGCTTTTTCCAAAGTATCAGCAGATTCCCGTAAATGTTTTTTCTCAGAATGATGTCGTCTATTTTATGACATTTGATTTGTCACATCATCCAGGAACTCTCCCCTTAGCTGAACTTTTTTGTGTGAGTGTAGACTGCCATCTTGTGGCTGACATCAGGAACTTTTAATAGTCCAAGGTTTAAATGCTTTCATATAGGTACCATGAATTATTTTATAATTATAGTTAAAATAAGAAAAAAAGATTAACTACATTTTTTAGTCAATCACCACAATATGATTCAGTGCATTTACATTTATGTGTAATTGTTGTTACTTGGGTAAAAAGGATGACTAGAGACTCTTCTGATGTGATTCTTTATAATACTACAGAAATCTTAACCAGTGATTAACCTAATTTGATAAATTTAGCGTAATCAAACTTTATTATTCTTTCTTATTTATGATTTGAAACAAGGTCTGTCTTTTCTGTTGCCCAGTTCACTTATCCCTCTGTCAAATTCAGCTCTGTCCTCGATGGTTTAGTTTGTGTAAAATATTCTGCAGTTAGTTTATTTTAGTCTTTCACTTGTCTCATGTCTTACGTCTCTGGAACCCCCAGACTTCAAGAGGAGGCAGCAGAGACCATGGAGGCTCTGCAGGGAGCGGGCATCAGCGTTTGGGTCCTAACCGGGGACAAAATGGAGACAGCAAAGTCCACCTGTTACGCCTGTAGATTGTTCCAGAGAAATACAGAGCTGCTGGAGCTGACAGTGCGAACTCTGGAAGATGGAGGCAGGAGGAGGGAGGAACGGCTACACGAGCTCTTGCTGGAATACCATAGGAAAGCTGTGCAGGACGCACCTCCTGTTAAAGCGGGCGTCACCAGGTGGGTACCTTGACTTAGGGCGCACTCACACCGTGCATCATGTTGAAGTAAGATTGCCCCTCGTTTCATCAGTTCCCTGATGGCCTGCACTCAGACTGTTCCAGACTCAAACAGGCCTGGGCATGATTACCTACGTCATAACAAGATATACCCATAGAAGCACTGTACAGTGAACAACACCACAGAGAATATGACTGCAGCTGCCAGCTTCAATGACTTTGTGCAGAGTTTAGAGTGGACTTGGCCACCAGTACTGTTCTGGCCATACAGAACAACTATCCACCATGTGCTCTGAAAAGGCACAGATGCAATAAACTAACATATACAAGCGATATGAATCCAAAAACATGGATAGAATTAGCCAAAAAGTTACATTTTTTAATTTTTTTGTTTATTAATTTCTTTAATCATTGATACATCACACAATAAGCGACAGCTCATCCGTCTTCACTCAGAGGTAGAGGAGAAACAGATAAATCTATGTAAATTTCTCTTTACTTCATCCTGATGTGTCAGGAATCATATCTTCCTCTTCTGCTGAGCCACTCACACATGTTTAATCTTTATCTAGTAACAAGAGTCACATTTTTAACCATCTTTGCTCTCCTTTCTTTGAGAAAGATATTTTTCAGCTGCTTTTGTTCAGCAAACTTGTCAGCATTTGGGTCCTGCTGTTTTCTCTGTACTGGTATGTCGATGTCAGGTATGATGTTTAGGTGAAGGATTTCCCTGTTTGTTTCTGTAGGAGCTGGTCTTCGGCAAACCAGGACTATGGTTTCATTATTGACGGAGCTACTCTGTCGATGGTGCTGAACTCCTCCTCTGACTCGAACGGTAGTCGCTACAAGAACCTGTTCCTGCAGATCTGCCAGAACTGCTCGGCTGTACTTTGCTGCCGCATGGCTCCCCTACAGAAGGCTCAGGTCAGAACAATCAGTAACAGTGAGGAAAACATTAAATCCTCAAAGTAAAAAAAACCAACTTTTTTTTTTCTTGTTGCTGTTTCTAAATGGTGCCATTTTTGTGGTTCTATCTTCAGATAGTTAAAATGGTGAAGAACTCCAAAGGCTGCCCGATCACCCTTTCCATTGGAGACGGTGCCAACGATGTCAGCATGATTTTAGAAGCTCATGTTGGTATTGGTAAGAGGTCTTTCGTTAAAACTCAACCATCTGTTCTGCAGAGAAGAGACGTCTTCATAATGTGATATTTGTACTCTGTGTTTCAGGCATTAAGGGTAAAGAGGGGCGGCAGGCAGTGAGGAACAGCGACTACGCCATCCCCAAACTCAAGCACCTCAAGAAACTTTTGTTGGCTCATGGGCATCTCTACTATGTTCGCATTGCACACCTCGTGCAATATTTCTTTTACAAGGTAAGAGGAAGAAACGTTTCTGTCTTCCTGACTTCATATCAGACTTACATCTTGTTATGAGCATATATTTCCCAAACAAACCCACACACGAACTTGATTCTAAGTTAAGTTCACGTTTATGTGTTGTAATATTAAGTGCACAGGAACTGATTGTAAAAATGTTTGCAGTATTCTTTCATGTTTTGATGCACCATCGTGAACCTGTTCTCTCTCTGTGTTTGCCTGCAGAACCTTTGCTTCATCTTACCTCAGTTTTTGTACCAGTTCTTTTGTGGCTATTCCCAACAAGTGAGTATGACCCGAGTCCCTTTGAGGTTCAAAGATGAGTGAATGTCAAAGGAGGCAAAGTGTTCCTTAAATCTGCACCACCTCGTGGTCCTGAATGCAACACTCTCTCCCTCAGATTGTTCCCTACCCCACTGGCCCTGGAGTGTTTGACCTCTGAATGATATATATAGTTGTATTCTGACTTTGAGGCATAGCACTGATACAGACATGCATCATTTTCTTCATGCTTCATTGTAATTGTAGTATGCACTCATGGTTTGGTGATCCTGTTGATCTTGTACCAGTTTGGTGCAGTTTAAAAGCAGTGAATCCTCTTTCATGCCACGCGGCTCGACTTAGCTTGATTTTATGCCCTTAAAAAATAAATAGAAGTTTTCTTTTATGACATTCTGTCCAAGTATGATGGTGTGTGAGAGCTGTGTCCTCTCCGTGATATTAACCCCTGGCTCCTCCTCCTTCCCTGCCTTCCCCGACCTTCCCCCACCTGCTACCGTCTTTCCCAGCCCCTGTATGACGCGGCCTATCTGACGATGTACAACATCTGCTTCACCTCTATGCCCATCCTGGCCTACAGCCTTTTCGAGCAGCACATGTGCATTGAGGTTCTGCTGGACAATGCTTCCCTTTACAGGTAAACATGGGAACGTCTCCTACATGTGTAACTGAATTGCTTTCATTGTTGACCAGCTAGTTTGTAGAAATCCACTAAATCTTTTTCCAAGTGACCAAACCTGTGCAGTGCGGAGTTTTAGGTCTTCTTCTTTGTAACATTAAATATCAAAAGGACAACTTTTATGTAGATATGATATATTTTTCAGTTGACAGAGCTTGTCTAGATATTTCAATAAAAGTTAAATATATTATAGTCTGCCATTTATATTTGATATTTTATAAAGCAATGTTCTCTTTCTTTTACTACTTTGTTCAGAGAGATTGCCAAGAATGCCATGCTGCGGTGGGGACCATTTCTGTACTGGACTTTGCTGGGAGTCTTCCACGGCTTACTCTTTTTCTTTGGTGTCCGGTTTTTGTTCAGTAACCCAGCACTGCAAGATAACGGCCAGGTTTGATATAACTCACCTTCTTTATGGGCGCAACACTAGATGACTTGATGAAGCAGTTTCTACAGAGAACATTTGCTCATTTGTCTCATTCTGATTTAGGTTTTTGGCAACTGGTCATATGGGACGATTGTTTTCACTGTCCTTGTCTTCACTGTCACACTGAAGGTAAACTGTTATTTATCTTGACTTAGAAACATTTGGGCAGCTACGACAGAGTAATGAGGCCACATGAAGAAAAACAAAAACAAAAACCTCAAGATTAAAGTCATTAATTTACTAGAATAGAGTAATTACTTTCGGGAATAAAGTCGTAATAAAATAAATACAAGAATAAAGTCGTAATAAGATAAATACTTACAAAAATAAAGTCGTAATAAAATAATTACTTACGGGATTAAAGTTGTAATAAAATAAATACAAGAATAAAGTTGTAATAAAATCATAACTTACGAGAATAAAGTCGTAATAAAATCATAACTTATGAGAATAAAGTCGTAATAAAATAATTACTTACAAGAATAAAGTTTTAATAAAATCATTATGATACTTAATGTGATGCTGATGTGATCGTATGTTTACGACTTTAATGTTTACGTTACGTTTTATGTTTACGAGTCTTAATTTTTTTTCTTAATGTGGCCTTTATACTCTGTCATAGGGCAGCAGATTTACATGAAAGCAGATAAATGGCTCTCAGTAGGCGACAAAGTGCATTACATATTTAAAACATGTATCCACTCACTCCTGTACTTTTGCAGCTTGCTCTGGACACGCGGCACTGGACATGGATCAACCACTTTGTAATCTGGGGCTCCCTGGCTTTTTATGTGTTCTTCAGCTTCTTCTGGGGAGGAATAATATGGTAAGAATGCAATTCTTAAAAAACAATCAACACAGGAAGTCAAAACTGCCCTGTTATTATTATTTTTCATGTTTATTCACTGCATGTCGCTCCGGTATGAAGCAGTGTTCCCTCTCCTGCAGGCCTTTCCTGAGGCAGCAGCGTTTGTACTTTGTGTTTGCCAACATGCTGAGCTCAGTGTCAGCATGGCTGGTCATCATTCTGCTCATCCTGCTCAGCCTACTGCCAGAGATCCTGCTTGTGGTGTTCCGCAAGCCCCGAGGGCCCCACGCTCGACAGGTAAGAGCTGAAAAAAACACACACACACATACAGCCTTACTTGACCTGACACACAAATTTGCGCTCTCTCTGTCTGTTCTTCTCTTCTTTTTCTTCTTTCACTCTCCTCTCTGCCTTTTCTATTTCTGTCTCAGATTCACAGCAGGCTTATATTACACAATTGTGCTGCAGATTAACCATTTGTTTCCCTAAGGATATCACTGTGGGTGATAGAGCCCATACTTGATGTGTCTGAGATGTAAAGAGAGAAGTGAAACAAGCGGCAATGTTTATGTCATGAGTCAAATCCTTCATATACATTAGGGAGGTGGGTCTAAGATCAGTTCAGGATTATTTGTCTCCTTCTTTCCATGTTTTGTATTCGAGAAATATCAAGAGATAAGGAATGATTCAAAGTGGGACACTGGGCTCCTTTGCAGTTCGGAGTTGCTCTTTAGAGGGAATGAATTGATCCTCCTCCAAGTTCCTCTCCAAGACAACTTTCCCAGACATATTTGGCAATAGCTCTCCATGTGGCTGATGTGTTTTCCAAGCAGCTGCAAATGTTTGGTTGTCGGCGCTGTGCTGCTGGGTGGGTTTTCATGCTTGTTGTTGTCAAATGGTGTCCAGACTTTCTTTAAATAAGGGCAAGTGATGAACTGAATTACAGAGCAAGACGTACTATTTGCTTTGCTTGAATTTAACACCTATTAACATATTTTCTGAAGTGATAGTGCCTGTTGTTACCATGAGTGGTTTTGTGTATCTATAAAGTTGTAATGATTTTTAAAACAATCTTAACTCCTTAATGTTACGATTCTTCCTGGTTTTTACTCTTCCAACATTTTTCCTATCTGGTGCTCTAGCTTCTGCACTTGCATCCTTCCTCCTTGCTCTGTCTTACTCTCTTATTTTCTCTCTCTTCCTCGCTGAACCTGGCTCCCTAAAGATGCAACATCGCCTTCCTTCCTCCGGAACATCTACTATCTTCATGTTGTCGCAGACCGCTAGCACTCACAGCTTCTCGTGGAGCGACTGAGGTCTCTTTTTCTTTCTGCCAGCTTCTTGTCCTTCAGCCTCTTCCTGCAGAATTTCTGTGTCTGCCAGTCTTGCTTGTTTTCCCATCTGTCGTGTCCTTCCTCTCCCACTGTTTAAACCTCCTCCTTACCCTCTAGAGTAACTTAGGGTGGCGTTTTGGTATTTTCAAACCCCTATCCGGATGATTAGGTCACGTTAAATAGTCAAGTTAGACTTCAAGCTCCCTATGTTTGAACCTTGACGTGAGTGGTGTCTTGACTGTAGAAGGGAGGATGTGTTATTGAATCAGCTAGCAGTGTGGAGTGGAACCAGGTGGTGTCTATACTGAAAACGTGCAAACGTCAGTCTCTCACTCTTGTCTGTCCACTTGTATCAGTATGTGTGTCCTCCTGGCCGCCTGTGCTGCTCCAATGCCTGCTGCCTCCGCATGTCCAGTCAGGTGAATGCAGCACGACAAAGCACCCTAACTTGCCTGCATGAAGCTCAAGTCAAGAACCTCATCCTGGATCTTCACCTTAAACCCTGCGGGCATCTGCATTTTTGTCAGCACGTGCGTTATACTACACATGCTGCTGTATAGACATGTGCGAGGAGAGAAGAGAAATCTAGAAGAACAGTTTGCCTTAAAGGTTACCTGGACTTGTTTTCATCGTCCACCTGTCCAGCATTCAAGTCTTTGTGTGTCTATTTCTGTTCCCTGTGTGTGCGTCTCTGTGTGTATGTGTCTGTATGCAGGGGTGAGAATAATGCTGCGTTCGAGTTACCTCGGAAATCAGAAGTCCGAGCTGGGAATGACGTCACACCGAGTTTCCAGCGTAAAGAAAAAAGAAAAATTGGAGGTGGAAACAAGATGGCACATCTACGAAAGTTATTTTAGTGTTTGCCTTGTCCGAATGTAAGCAAGGACAAGGCAAGCGCTAAAATAACTTTCGTAGATGTAGCCATCTTGTTTCTGCCTCCGATTTTGCTTTTTTCCGACTTTGTAGCTGAAACGCTGGTAACTCAGGTGTGACGTCATTCCCAGCTTGGATATCCGACTTCGAGGTAACTTGAACGCAGCCTAAGAAGGAGAGCGAGGGAAAGTGTGTACGTGTCTGTCGGCGTAGTGATGTCATTGGTGTCTCTTGCCTCACCCTTCTAGAAGAAGCCGGTTCAGTCGAGCGCCGGGAGCCCCCAGTCTCCCCGGTCTTCAGCCAGGCCCCTGCTCATGAGAACCTTTTCAGATGAGTCCAATACTGTCATTTAAACAGGTACCAGCCTACCTTCAGGCCATTTAAGCCAATCAAAGACTCACTCCCCCCAGCCAACCAACCAACCTCTAGCAGTTCTGGCCCCTCTAACTCTGAGTTTTAACAAAAGCGTTCAGACATTCAGGCCTCTCCCAACCAGACCCTGTGTCTTTATGTGTTGTTTAAGCTGAAATTGGCTGCCTGAAGAGATCAACATTTCTCATGTTTGACTCAAGTTTAAGTTCAAGAGGTCAAAATGGTGCACTTATCTTACATGTGAATGCATCTTTCGGCCTAAAGTGTGGCAGACTCAGCATGTTTTTTGTTTTTCTGTTCACACACGCTCCTGTCTGCTTCTCTTCGCTGCTTCTCCTGCATGTGCTTTGAAAATGCATACTTAATGTTTTTTTTTTCCCCTCCGTGTCAGTACATCTGTTCACTGAGGCTGGATCGCCTGAGTGTCAAGTGTTGATGTTATTTATCCGTCAGTGTGTATAACAGCGGTGTTTTTGATCCCCAGTCTGGTGTTCATGTGCTGTTTGTGAGGTGATGGTTCGGTCATGGTGGTTTCAGACTGTGTGCATGTCCTAAAACCAGTATCAGTGGTTGCTGTCTGCTTTCTTTCCCAGCTATTCATTGACTCAGGTGCTGAACTCGGCTCGCTGCATGATGTGATGTTGCCTTAACCCTTAAAGTGAACGCTGCTGCATTATATACAGGGGATGTCGACAAAATGAATGGAAACATCGTTTTTCTGGTGCACATAAAATATCAGTGTTTAACGTCACACGAAGCTCCTGTGAGGAGTTTTTGACTGGAAATGAAATCGTATGAGACATTAACATAAACTAACTAAATCAACAACAAAAGCTGAAAATTCCTGATCCAAAATCTTTAAGACCTGTAACATCCGTAGAGGGGGGAGGTGTTTAATTTCACCAATCATAGCACGCTGAGAAAAATAAAAATGGCCTTTTTAACATTCTCCCCAGAAAATATTCACTGTGAGTGATCTGTTCACTGTGAATCATCGCTGTGGAAAATGTAAGAAAGAATACATGATGATATTTGTGTTAGAAAACACGATTTATACATGAATGAGAGAAAATCAGTAGAGATTTTTGATGTGCAGTTTTGCCCACAAGAGGGTGCCAAAATCAACACAAATGGAAAGTTCCTTACAGGAGCTCCAAATGAATCAAAAACCTCACCATGAAATAGATATAGTATTTTGTTTCATAATAAAGGGTCATTTGAAAGGGGTTTCAGCAGTTTTTATGATAAAATGTGTAACACTTTTTAGGTGTCACAACAGAGCCAAAAGGCAAAGAGGGAGACGTAGCGTAATCTTAGTGATATTACAATGACAATTAAGAAATGTTAAGATTAAAAGTACTACTTTTGTATCAAACAGACATGTAATAGTCTGTTTCTTTGGTGTGAATTATCCAGCAGCCATTCAACTTTAGCTCTTCAATGTGAGCCTTGTTATAAAAGTGGGATTGTGGAGTAAAACAGATGTTAAACAAAAAGTACTTTGGAGCAAAAATTAAAAACTGCTGGACGAAGAAAACATTGAGTTCCAAAATCTGTTGAAAAAGAAGCAGAAGGAAGTTTCAAAGATCAAAAAGAAGTTTCAAGGAAAAATTGTTGAGAAGAATTTGAAAGAGCATCCCCACCTTCGGGCATTTAAAAAAAACAATCATAAATGTCTTCATCTTTTTGTCCACCCCCTGTAGACTGGTCTAAATGTTGCACCTTCCCATCACTGTTCACCAGGGTCACCAATATCTGCTGCTTGACAAGAGCACAGGTCTTTTTTCATGCAACAGCTTTCACTGTGTAACCTTCATTTCTATTCTTCCAATAGCTGTCAGAGAACAACCTTCTGCGAACGTCCAGGTAATCCACAGTCAAATAAGCCGCCTGTACCTGTTCTGTGTTCCTGCTGAGCGTTAACAGCATACCGGGGGTGAAATTTGGAGCCTTTTGTTTACTAATTCCGTCACGTTTCTGGTGGTGGGGAAAGTGTCCGTTTTTCGTTGTTGTCGTGCTGTGGTTTGTGGCCAATCAAAGCTTATTCTCAGAAGACTTTGGTGATTTTCTGGTGTCTGGTTGTCCTCCTCGTGTTTGTCGTTCTCAAGTTAAAAAAAAAACCTCTGAGGTAAAAATCTGTCTGCTTGTACTTTCACAGATTGCGCCAGTCACACCACTCTCCTACAAGCACCTGAATGATGGCAACTAAAAGGCAGCTGGGACTTACAACAACCGTGGCGTCAGACGCTTTCAGGGTCCTGTGCCTGTCAGATCAGAGTTGTCTGCCATCCTGCCTGATCAAAACAGAGGAGAAGGAAAAATAAGAAGAAAAAGAGATATGATGACTGGGGGGGAAGGGATAAAAAAAGGGGTTCAGCGGTTTTTTGGCTCGTGTCTCTCTGCTCCGTCCTCCTCTGCCAAAATCCCCACAACTCCCAACCCCCTCCCACCTGCGCATGCCTGCAGAGCTGTGCCCTGCATTATTTTTTAAGATATCTACTCAGAAGACAGGCATGGGTTTTCTTTTTTTTCCCCTCTTCTTTTTTTTTTATACAAGCTTAAAATGAATGCATACACGGCTGCCTTCTCAGTAGCTCTACCCAACTGCTGTGTTTTAACAAGCGGTTGTAATTTCCACTTCAAGAATGGTTCACCTGCATGAAAGAGGGCTCAGAAGAAGAAGGCTCCACTCCACTCCACTGAGGTCAAGTCACCGCTCTTTACTAAGATTCTGTGAAGGCTACAATAATCCCATTCTCAGCGGTTACACTCAGATCTATTACTTTACAGTTATTCAGCTTTTTCAACAGTTATTCTTTAAACGGTTACACAGTCTGTGCGAGAACACGCACTCATCCACAGTGTACGGAAAAGTTACTGAAGGTGGTTTTACTTCTGCTCGGAGCTGCAAAACAATTGTCAGGATGTTTTTGTTTTTTATATACTGTTGTCATATTTTTCTTTGACAATGAATCTGCATTTTTTTTTTCTTTGTCAAATCAGTAAACAGAGGCCATATTAACACCTGATCCAAAAAAAAGTGTGTGTGTGTGTTTGTGTGTGTGTGCGGCAAGATTGAGAGAAAGATTAGAGATGTTAAGCATGATCTGGCAATGAAACATTGCTTTGAGCGTGACCTAAATCTCCCAACCTCAGAGATAATTTAAGAGTCCGTTAAGATGATTAAATTAATATATTTGTGCTGTACTGTATATAGCTTAGAGATGTATGATAACATCTGCTCAAAGCCAAAAAGGTAGACGTAATACGATCAGATTCTGTCCACTCTAGTGCGACCTGAAAGTGACAAGTCAGTGTGTGTGTGTGTGTGTGTTTGTGTGTGTGAGACTGTACTGGATTAAAACTCCAGAATTGCCTGTGCGTCATGAAAACCAGGATTACTTGAAACCTCTTTAGTTTGTTTTAGACATTTCCTGCACTATTAAGGAAACTGGTTTCTTCATCGCGGTGGTGGGTCACCGAGGCACATCATTATATGCCTGAGCACACACACTCATGCACATATCAGCTATATGAGAACAATACACAGTGACCACATACATTTAACACATTTATGCGCACATGCACTAAAGCCCAAATGAGGTATTTATGTTCATCTTATTATCTAGTTTGTGTCATTTGTCTCATGAAGGCTCAAGTTTCTCTGCGACATGTTAACGCCACTGTGAGTCTTTTAACTTCATTTCATTTGATTTGTTTGGTCAAATTTCCTGACTGTTGAGTGGACTGTTTGGTCTTTTGTTCCCTCCTTTCTCTCCTTGTGTGAAACGCTTCATACATTCCATTTAAACAGGCTTTGATTTCAAACATTTTGCGATACTGTCGTCTTCATTTTTCACAAATTTGTATCGTCTCTTTGGCATATTTATTGTTCAGTGTAATTTTACTCACAAATGTTGTTCTTTTATGGTGTAAATCTTTTTGTTTTTATCGTCGTGGAGAGTGATCAGCGTTCATCTGTGTCGCTCCAGAACTGGTGTGAGCCCGTGCCAATCTCATTTGATAGTCTTTGTCGTACACGCAGAGACAGGCAGCCCCCCTAGTGCTCTCCCAACTTCCCATAATCCACCTCTATACCAACAGCACTCCTTTAACAAGAGTATATCTAAACTTTTTAGATCCTGTAACTTTTCATGAATGTTTCATTTTTATCGTTTCCTGGTTGTGCTTTCAAACACTGCCTGAGTTGCTCATGCAGTCATAATACCATACTGATATACAAATTATCTCCATTTGAATTTGTTCTGAACAAATGGAATAACAAACATGTCTTTCAGCATCGTTTTCTACTGTTAGACTTATTTTTAATGTAAAGAGGAGGAGACTGCTCACACCCTGTGACATGTCGCCCCCCAGACTGCACTGTGCCAGAGACTCGGGACTGAGAGGGGCTGCCTGCCTTGTTAACAGATGAATAACCTTTAAGTGACATCAGAGATGCTATTTTCAGAGCTAATAAAAAGAAAAAAAGATATCTTGGATTCCAATGTTTTGCCTGTTGAAAAAGTATATAAGAATGGATTGTATTTTTAATGCAACCTTTTTCCAGCCACTTTTTCTAAAAAAAAAAAAAAAATCAAAATGTCCAAAAAAGCACGAGAGGCTCTATGGTTGTGGACGGTGTCCCTGTCTGTGAGGGGGGTTGGAGGTCTTCGGCCCTGCGGGGTCACCTCGCCACCTCCAGCCCTTTGGGTCTCCAGCCTCAACACTCCAAACCTCCAAGCTGAATGTACCTCTTTGAAACTAGTATATTGGAAAAAAATGAAGATTTTCTGTAATAAAGCAGAATGTTTTGAACATAAATCAATGTCTTTAAGTGCTTTTTTTTCCGCCCACATTCAAGTCAGCAGGTTCTGTCTGGTGTAAAGTCGAGTGTGCGAGTGGGCGGCTGAGAGCGCGTGTGTATGTTTGTGTGCGTTTGACCCCACTAAGCAGATGCTGTGCAGTAATGAGATGGCTGAGAGGCTAAGCTGGATCAGCTGAGTGGCTGCGTATCAGGATGGAGTACGGCTGCTCTCTCTCCGCTCCGTGTGTGGCCTCACATCATGAAAACACCCAGCACTGTGAGTCAGGAGGTTTACATCCATGCATACACAGGATTTTTTGCACTCTAGTCTCTTAGCGCTGATCCATTTAGAGTAGCTGTGGGCAGGGAGCTGAGTTGAGAGAGGCTCTGTGTATCAGAATGTACACAATGACACCCTTTCATATTTGTTCCTCTGCTTGAATGTGATTGTTGTGTGTTCAAGGCTGTACTCTTTGCATGGGCCAAACTAGTTGGCTGAGGTTGTGGTGCGTTTTCATCTTCTTTTTACAATAGATCTATTCTCTCCGTGTATGCATGTGTGTTATAGCACAGCAGGATGAGGTGGGGACATGGACATGGCTGCCAGACAATCCAGCCTACTGTAGTACAGTCAGAAAACAGCCAAGGGGAGCACGAAGGAGTGTGAAGTGAGAGGAAAAGTTGGGAGGGAGTTGGCAGTGTGACAGGAGGAGACTCTTGAGCCCTGCACAGTGCAGAGCTGACGCACTAAAGCTCAGAGAGAGAGAGAGAAAGAGTGAGGGAGGGGAGAGGAGGGGCGAGTGAGTGAGAGAGAGAGAGAGACAGACAGCAGTGTCCAGATGGAGCCCTGTTTGTTTTGAAGTAGCTGACTGCTGCTGAAAGCTGGACAGTCTGCCGGCATTAGTGTGTGTGTCTCTTCATAGGGGGAAAGAAATCACAACCCGGACTGTAAACCACAGTTTTCTGCTCATGTGGACAGATTGTAACTGTGCTGCTCACACTCTATGCAGCTCAAGGTCAGGAAGAGCCAGCAGCAGCAGCAGCAGCGTCAGGGAAGTGTCCCATCTGGATCTCAGGACCTGCAGAGACTGGTGGGCGCAAGTTTTCCTGTCGCACCACAGCTCCCAGGATTCTCGACGAAAAAAAGTCCCCATGCAGGACAGTGAGGAGGATGTGAGGCCTGGACTACTTTCAGTTCCTCCCACGACAGCGTCACTTCTCCCAGCCTGAACCTGTGTCAGACACCAGGAAGGGAATGGGCCCAGCCTCACTGCAGGAGGAGAGAGAGCTGGAGAAAGAGTCCAAGGAGGAGATGGAGAGTTATCACTACCTTCTGCAGGCTGGCTCTCAGCTGGAGAGCACTCTGCAGCGTGAGTACACATGATGCTGACTGTCCTTATTTCACTTCTGCTAGCCACTAGCAGGCTTTTGAATATAATCCTCTATCCTCTCAAAGTATTTCCCATCATTTCACATCATTCACAGTTCAGCAGGCTGGAAAATGAAATGCACTGCAGCAGAAGTCCTTTCGATTTGATTTCGAGTCCCGGTTTTTAACTTCTGAGAGTCAATATAGGATGTAACAGGAGAACTGCACACTGTATATTAGACATGTCAGACTTATTGATGTTTCCTGCATTTTTGGTACAACATTAGGCCACTGCAGGGAAGGCTGTCACAGACTGATAAATATTTGTGCACAGTAATAATTTGTAGACTAAATATCTCCTCACCAGTCTGGGGCTTTGCTTTCAAATGAATAACACTCGTTACACCAAAACAGCATTTGATTTTTAATCTCTATTTCAACATTAAACTAATTTGCTCCTACTACTTTACTAGAGAGAGTAAATGTTGGAAACACATCAAAAATAAACCGCCGATCGATGGCGAGATGTAATGACCCACCCTGGTGTGATTGACAGCTCCACGCATGTGCCCTCTCCAGAGACTAATGTGATTACTTTAGGGTCCTGGCAGTCTTGACTTATTGTTTAATTGATGATTGCTCTGCCTCTTTACGTTCCCTGTGGGTTCTCGAACCTGGGTTAGGGTTCTCAGGGAACAATGGGAGCAGGAAAGAAGGCCATGATGAGTTTCTATTTTTACCAGGTGACATTTTTTCTTTCTCAGTGTGAAACATGAGCTCTGTAGTCAGGGTTTGTGCTCATCTGCTTACAGGGGATACAGTTATACACACTGATATGTAAAACTATAACTACAGACTGATCAATTCCTTTAGATTAAGTATTGAAGTATCACTCTGAGTTTGTGTGAGCCACTTCTGCTTCAACACAATACTCATGATGAAGGTTCTTATGTGGTTGTAGTCCAGGTATTCTTAATGTCTAACCATATCGTGATCATCTGTTCAGAGTCAGTGTAAACAAGTATTTTGCTGGCACAGTGCGCCATGAGTAAGTATGATTATCTGGATGATGACAGCTTTATGGTACATTTCACACAGTCACAATCTCTACACAGAAATAACAATTACCTTTGTCGTTCCTGCTTGTCAGACAGCGCTGTAACTGATTTGTACTCACTGACACTTCGAGTTCAACTGACCAAACGTTTTGTCCACACACCAGACCAGACCAGACCAGAAAGTGAAACTATTTCAGTCTCTCGGACTTGAAACCCAGCTTTCTCTGTACGTGAACAGAAATGACGCCTTATCAGTGTTAAAATTAAAGCTGACATTTAATCTGTATGATGCTCCTCAAGCTACACTACAAATCTGTTCGTCTCTATAAAAGGTTTTCTACACACTCCGGCCTAAAATCATCCCACTTTTCTCATCTCCCAGTGGCTAGAACTCTCAATTTTCCCTTTTCTATCCAAAAGCAGCCGCCCACCAGTCTAATCCCCTAAGCTCGGAAAGCTTTGTTTTGCCAAATATCCCATGACCCAAAAGCAGTATGAGGCTTGGCTTCTGTGTACTATGAAAACATTTGAATGTGTCAGAGGGATTTCTTGCCATGCAGGGGATTACTTGTGTCCGCTTCCAGGTCGCTGTAAATTCAAACATAATTCAGCTTCCATGCAGAGAATTTAGATCCTCTACACTGAGACCAGATTCTGGTTCACTTAGATTTCCATGTGAGGATGGTGTGGTGCTCTGGCATTATGTGGTAGTTTGCTAAAGAAAATTACACAGCTGTCTTCCTGAGTCATCCCCTTTTAAGTACCAGACACTGTAGGAGGAAGACTGACCTTAATACTCAGGATGAAGTCATGCTTTGTACAGTCTGAATGTGTCAGAATATAAAGTCTTAATGTGTTCTTATGAAATCAATATGCACACCAAATCTCCTGTGATTCAATGTCATAAAACCATAAACAAGGAAAAGTACCCAGGAGTAGACAAATAGGTTTATGGAGATGGTTATCACTGTTTGGACACCAGACATAAGCTCCCTGCTTTCACCTTTACATGCAGACTTAACTCACTTCTGTTCGACTGAGAGCAAATCTCTGTTTCCATCCAAACTGATAAACACCTCTCTTCCTCTGTGTGCAGAGGCACAAGAGCAAACAGAGGTTATATGACTGCACACACTGTGCTGCATGTCGCTGGAGAGGTCATGAGGTAGGATGAAAGTAGGATGAAAGGGAACCACTTCATAGCCTAAAGGAAGTACATTTAAAAGGAGCGCTGGTTTTATTTACACTTAAATTATCCTATAGAGTCTGATTGACTTTGTTTAAAATATAAGTGAGTTATTTATGCCAGTACTTCATGTTTTTTCCCTTTGATTGCACACTTTGAGGCAGGAGGCCACGATAAATAAACATACATCATTTCCCCCAACAGTGACCATAAATGAATAAGATCATGTGAAAGGCTCGTAGTCAGGCAGGGTGAAGAGAGAGTGCAGTAACTCCACAAACTGCTGGCAAGTTAATAACAACACTGCAGTTTGCAGCAAAGGCTGTCCTTACTTTGATTTAGTGCAGTGGAGGTCTGCAGTGCGTGTGCTCGTGTATCCTGGTCTCTTTTTTTTAAGAACAACTTTAATCCATGTAGGACTGCTTGGATTATTTGCCAGATTTTGTCATTAGTGGTTTATTTACTTAATATTTAAACTTCCACATTTACATTTATACCAGATAATTGAGAGCATGATATACTTGGATGAAAAGTTACACCAAAGCACAATGTCAACAGGAGAACTTAATTAACCAGTCTGGAAATCTATTCATTTGCGGTCTATCACACCTTCCTGAAGATCTTGTGGCACAGGAGGGAGAAAGGATTATATAACTTTCCAGTGTGACGGTAACTCTACCCTGTATCTGTGTAAGCTCAGTGCAGCCACTGGTCCTTCTCTGTCCTCAGCTTCGCTTCTCTCTGTTACAGACACACATCAAATATTCAGCAGGTACCAGTAGAGCTCATTACTGGCTCCCGTGACAACCTAACAGACACTATTACTGCAGTTGGCACATGGAAAATAACACCTCTGTCTCTCATCCTCTCTGTTTTTACACCCTTTGTCACCATTGGACTCTTTTCTAGTCCTATGCCTCAATATATTATCAATCAGAGATATGAAATTGATTAACTGTGATCAAATTTACTCCATTTTCATTGGCAAGTTTAACAACATCCAACTTCACTTACATGATGTCTGAGCTTCATTTAAAGGGACATCACCACTGACAGCTTTCAATACTCAATCAAACCAAAACATGTCTCTTTTTCTGCATAAGGTTTAAGGTCATCTACTAAAACGTGTGTAAATGTTAATGTGAGCACATGTGAATATAATGCACAGGCCAGTGAGTTTGCCCTCTACACATCTGGTTGTATGAATCCCAGTCCACTGAGGAGCCAGATGATGTATGAAGTGCACTGACTGCTCCATAAGAGACTGTGTGAGCCACTTAACCAAGAGTGTTAATGGAACTAAGCATGAGGCACTGCGCCATCTGCCATCTGAGTACAGTCAATGAGCCAATGTGTTTTCATGATGTTAATGTCTAATTCAGATTTAAAGGGATATTCCGGCGTAAAATTAATTTAGGGTCAAACACACCGTAACACTGAGTTAGACTCCCCCTCGACAGATGAATGTTGCTGACCGCTTGCTTCTCTAGTTATACTAACTTTAGTAACGACAGCACAATAGCGATACAGAGTGGTCTGAGGAGCCATAAACAAACCTCAACCAAAACGCCACTCTATAGCCACAAATAATGCTCAGAACAGCACCTAACTTCATCAACAGTAAATATAGGGTCCCAGCCATAGTACTAGCCACCAAACATCTTTTTAACTTTGCCTCATTTCTTTAGCAAAGAGACAAAACACAACTCACCTACTCTCTTCCAGCAGCCGCTTGTTTGTAGCGAGACCTCAGGCCAGTCCATTAAAACTGCTGCGGGGTGACACAGCTCAAGGAAGAACATTTATGATCATTACTTTATAATTTTCTTTAAGTAATAATCACCATATTGATCATTTTGCACTGCAGACATGATAGTTCTTCTACCTTAGCGTCTCGGTCTGATTGCATTTCCATGGACTGGCCTGAGGTCTCGCTACAAACAAGCAGCTGCTGGAAGAGAGTGAGTTTTTTTACAGTTTGTTTGACCCTAAATTAATTTTATGACGTAATATCCCTTTAAGATAGCAGTTATAGCTGCAGTGCATGCTGGGGGATACACTGAGTACCAGTCAGGATTTACATAGAGGCAAAAGCCTCTATTTTTAGACACTAGGGTGGAGTTGCTGTCTTTAAATGTATTTAATGGTAAAACCAGAGTAACAAAGAGTTTATATATAAGTGTCTTAGTTAAAAGTCTTAAATAAACTCTGAGTGTTTTTCTAGTCTTGAAAAATGGGAAACTGTAAGATCCACATTCCCTCAGTTATTTGATGTGGGCATGTCTAACAGTGTTGTGGTCTTTTTGTTTTGGTATGGTTAGCTTTAGACTGATTCCCACCTTTGAAGATTTACACATTTGACAATGATCTTAAAGTTTTCATAACGTCTATATCTTTTTTTAGAGGTGACAGTCCCAGTGAGCATGAAGGAGGTGGGGGGCTACATACAGAAACAGGTGGCGTATCTGTCAGGTGAGACCTTTTTTGTGGACATAGACTACATACCATCCTTTATCCATCACATTTTATTTCATTGAATCTCTGCTCCATCCTCAGCAGTTTCCAAAAGCTCCCTCAAAGCGTAACGAAACATCTGAAATGGGGTCTTTTGAAAAGATACTAACCGCTCATATCTCTCTTTTTTAGGGGGCCGTGGGGAAGACTCCAGTGTCATCATCACCCTCCCAGAATGCTCTGCTTTCAGCGACATCCCAGAGGAAGCTCTAACCAAAGTCTTTACATACCTCACTCTCATCCCTCGGTGCGTCCTCTTTTGGTCTACTCCTTCCTGACTCTCTCTCTCTCCCTTTCTGCAGTGCACCAAAAACCAAGTACTTGTATTCTGAGCACAGCTGGCCTTCACTGCCCCTCAGCTCGCTGTCAGATGTCCTACTGATGCCCTCTATGTCCGAACCCTACTCTCCTCAGGGACTGTAAATGTTTATTTAGGGCTTTTGCCTCATTTCACTGAGTTTTAGATGAAGAGGGTATCACTGATGCTGTTGTTATGTACTAGCATGTGTACAAAGCTAGGCGTGATCTGAATAATCCACCTGCTTTTCTTGAGTGATAGCTTTACATCACATGACGGTAGAGCGTGACCATACACGTTTATCAAACTGTCTACTTTTTCTTGCAGAGCGAGGCAACCAGGAGTCAAATTCATCATCATATTAGACCGAAGATTGGATACATGGGCCTCAATCAAAACTGCTCTTGCCAGGATAGCAGTGAGTTTCATATTTCACTGTCATGATCAATATGACCATGTCCAGTCAATAACCCTGCCAGACAGATCAGTCATCATGCATATGGCAGAGATTCATGATTGCCTGTGAGCTGCTGTATATGCGTACAGGATATACAGTACTGTTTTATTTATGAGCTGCTGTCCATGGTACTGAAAACCTGAGAAACACCTCCAAGGTTACTAATATGATCAAACTGGTATGTCAGTGTGATTCAAAAAGGGTTTCCTTCCCATGTCTGTAAACATGTGATGAGGAGAGTAGCATGAACATCCTGTCCGTACTGAATGTCCCATCGCATATTACATAGACTCCTGCTGCAAAAGCGTGAGTAAGCAAAAAGTGTGTGATGACGCGGGGCGGTGAAGGGAGGACAGGATGAGGAGGGAGGGAAACATTGCAGTCAGCGCTGCCATCCTCCGTCTGAGAGGCAGCAGCAGCAGCGCTGCGGCTGTGGTCAGGCGGCTGGAGGGAGCTGCTGCATACCTTCAAGCCTGGCAGCTATTTGTACTGAACCGGCGGGAATTTACGTTATACCGAGATGGCTTCCAACACCATGACGGACTGCTTTTACCGGCGGGGAATCCCGAAGATCCGCCGGAGCCCGGTAAAGAGCTGCGGGGTAGTTTTTTGACCGTGTGAAGAGTTTAGGGGAAGTTTTTTTGGGCGGGCAGGGTGAATGCGGCAGTGGGCACAGGCACAGGCGCGGGTGCAGCACTGCGGTGCAGCGCGCGCTTCTGCTTTATCATGCAATTGGCTGTGAATGAAATCTAATCAGGCTTATGTTGATGCTGGAATCTGAGGCTTGAGGTATTGACCACCGTGCTCGAGACAGGACAAATGAATGTCAGGAGGTGCGTCACTTGCAAATGCATGATAATGAGATGGTCAGGAGGAAACGTTGATGCAATACATTTTTGTCCAAATGTGCAAGACCTTATCCTAAAATATGAGTATATTAACTTTCAGGGTTATGTGGCTTAAGCTCCTCATTATACTGCACAGTATGGGCATGACTGCACAAGCTGTGGCCTCACATGATCTGAAGATGAAATGCAGTTTATGACAGAAGTGTGGAGACTGAATAGCCAAGTGAATCCATTAGACTGAGAGTCATTGCAAGGGTGACATGAAGCCTCATATGTCAAATGTGGGGATTTGGTTATTTTTCTAGCTCATATTTCTCTTTAGGGTGGCACAGTGGTGTAGTGGTTAACACTGTCGCCTCACAGCAAGAAGGTCCTGGGTTTGAATCCGGGTCAGGGTGTTTCTGTGTGGAGTTTGCATGTTCTCCCTGTGTCTGCGTGGGTTCATCACAAACACATGCAGAAGTGGGGTTAGGTTAACTGGCCACTTTCAAACTGCCTATAGGTGTGAATGTGAGCGTGGAGGGTTGTTCATCTCTATATGTCAGCCCTGCCATGAACTGGCGACTTGTCCCCTGACCTTCACCCGAAGATGCTAGGATAGGCTTCAGTCCCCACAAGACCCCCAACGGGTAGAAAATGGATGGATCTCTCTCCCTGTGCCAGTCTGCATAGAGGAGTTATTTTTATGTGGGAAAATGCTGATGTTAGAAAAAGCCACCTTGCAAATTCTAAGTTTTCTGCAGAATCCCTCATATCCAGTTTCATCAATGTGAACCTCCCTTTTTTCCCCTTTCAAGGCTTCTTTTCCAGGGAACCTCCACCTGGTATTGGTTCTCCGGCCCACCAGCTTCTTCCACCGCACTGTCACAGACATTGGTTTCCGCTTCAGCCAAGAGGACTTCATGCTCAAGATGCCAGTAAGGCAGCTCCTCCTCAGTTACCAAATATGTCCTACTTCACTACAAGGTACAAATTGTTCTTGCTGCAACCCTGATCTCCACACGTGTGATACACTCAGCCGAAACGAATGATGACACTAAAATCTTACTCTAACGGGCCATCCAAGGTTGTTTTGAAATTATTCATGGAGTATCAGTTGTATAACTGATGACTGACATGCCATCTTTAGTGGTTGTTACCGTTCTGAGCAACTGTTTGCTCATGTAAACAGCTTGTTTGACCCTTTAAGGCGGCAGTAGCTCAGGAGGCAGAGCGGCCGTCCAATAACTGGAAGGTTGTCAGTTCGATTCCCCCCTATCCCGAGTCTGTCCATTGTGTCCTTGGGCAAGACACTTAACCCACCTTTCTCCCAGTGTGTGTCCTCCACTGGTGTATGATTGTAAGTGTTGTGTGGTGGTCGGAGAGGCCGTAGGTGCAAACTTGCAGTCACATTTCCGTCAGTTTGCCCCAGAGCAGCTGTGACTGCTAAGGTAGTTTATCACGCACCAAGGTGTGACTGCGTAAGCAAATGAATGAAATATCCAATCTAAAGCGCTTTGAGGGTCTCTGGTAAAGTGCTATATGAAATCTTATGCATTATTATTATTTGTCAAATGTAACAGTGGTATCAAAACAAAAATTCCCCCCCAAATTAAAGTCATGCAGTTAAAAAAATATCAGGTTTTCATTCACGTGAGAATAGGGAACAATAAAACAGACTGCCATCATGATTTATCTAATCAAGTGTTCTTTGTGAGGTCTCAGGTTTTGTCTGCACTTCTAGGTGGTGATGCTGAGCTCTGTCACAGACCTGCTGCGCTACATCGATGAGAATCAACTAACTTCAGAGTTTGGAGGAACTTTGGACTATTGTCATAGTGACTGGATTGTTTTAAGAACGGTACGCTCAAATCAATCAAAACAGCACACAAACATTCATATCATCATCCTACCAGCATGTGCCAGTGTTGTTTTCTGTTACCTTGACTTTACTGCTATCATTGGCTAAATAGTTTCATAAAGCTTTTACTGGAAATTCTGTGTTAGCATGAAAACACATGCCAAGAAAGTACATCTATGTACTTTATACCACTGAGCATTTTTTGGTCTAAAGGAGGTCTAATAGATGTCTAAATGTAGTCTAGACGACTGGTCTAAAATCAGACTACCATAGGTCTAAAAATGAAAGTTTTTTAGACATCTAAATTTAGACCAAGTTCAGACCAAGTCTAAATCTGGGCTATATCTATACTACACTGTACATTGCTCAACAGCTATCATAATTATTTTGGTTAAGTACTCGGAGATCAGTTATGCAACTCACAGTTGCTTTTTGAAATAAATAGTTATCCAAAAATGGGTTAAAGTGCAACGTCTAAATTCCATCTGAAAATATACAGAATTTAGACAGTTGAAATTAGGTCTAAAAAAAAACTACATGTCTAATAGCCATCTATTGCTCAGTGGGATAAACCCTATCTTCTTTTACAAATAGGTTTAAGTACCAAATTGCTTTCAGATAACCTCCAAGGATTCAGTGTCCTGCTGATAATGTGCCTCTGATTTTGTACTTGCACCTTATTTCTTGTGTCCTTTTCCTCCACTACAGGCTATTGAAAGTTTTGCTGTTACAGTCAAAGACATCGCACAGATGCTTCAGGGCTTTGGGTCTGAGCTCGCAGAAACAGAGCTGCCTGATGAGGGGCAAGCCATTGAGTTTCTCCTGGAGTCTCACACTGACAAGTACAAAAAACTCAAAGTAAGATTTCTAATGTTTGAGATGCTGTTACCAATTCTAAGCATTAATCTTGTCTCATCGTGGACAAAAAAAGTAGGATTTCATGAAGCACTTTTTGAAGGCTGTGCATCCTTGATGTGAATTGCCCTCTACTGGCAGGATGCAATCAGGTCCGTGTCAAAGGAGGGTCGTCATCTTCTCTTAAGCTTAGAGACGTCTGCGAAGGACGATGACTCTCAGTGGGATGTGAAGCTGGACTGGGAGACAGTGCAGAGGTGAGACATCTTTAAGCAGCTTTTTGTTCTTTGTAATACCTTATCACTTCCTAAATTAAAAAAAGCCTGTTGGTAGAATTTCTCATTTCTTAAAAGGGCTGCTGAGCTTTTTACGTCACAAGTGAGGCATAGTCTCTTCTGTTTTTAGGCTTCTTGCACAGCTCAGAGATATGGAGTCAGCCTTTGATGGCTTCTTTGAGAAGCATCATCTAAAACTTCATCAGTACCTGCAGCTGCTCAGATATGAGCAAAGTTTTCAGGAGGTAAGGGTTCCATATATTTAAAATATATTTACAGTATGGTTTTTGGGTTACATACAGTGCCCAGCATAGGTCAGTACACGCCCGATTAAAAGTAATGTATTACTCAATATCTAGACGAGCAAAAGTACAATTTCCAAAGTTTTGACAAAGCTGAGTTTAACATAACATTTTATTAACCATAAGACAAAAATAAGGGCGATATGGTAACTAAAATGTAGCTTTGCTCCCAGAACTTTGATTGGGGTGTTCTCTTTTTTGCATCCTGATTTTAAATTGAAAAAAAAACTTTTTTGTATGCCACTTAAAAAAATCTTGTTTGCAAGCAATGGCCTACATTTGGAGGAGTATTTTGTTGTATGGTCTGACATAGAAAATGTTGATTTTGAAACTTAAGTTTTTCTGACAACTCTGAAGGGGTGTACTCATTTATGCTGAGCACTGTATGTTTCTCATACTCCCTAAAGGGTAAAATCTGTCAGTTTTGGTAACGTTCAGCTCAGTTTAAAATGTGGGCTGTAGTAACTTGGGGAGTAAGTGGGTTGTCTTATTATCACCTGTATAGATCGAGTTATTGTATGCTTTATTTTTAGATGGAGTTGTGTCTGGAGCATCTGATGTCTCAGGAGAGGGAGCTGTCCGTATCTGCAGACACTCTGGTCCAAACAGAGCAAAGTCTCAAAAGGCTGGGCGGTCTGGAATCACATGCACAAGTCAGTGTTTCTCAGTCTGGCTGCCTCTATCTGTATGAACAGCCTTAGTTTCTCCTTGAGGACTGAAAGGACCCAGTGATCATACAGTGTTTAAATTGGTCTCCTTCCTTTGTTTCCTTGATAGGAGGTGATGGCAAGGGCTCAGATCATCATCCTTCATGGACACCAGCTATCAGCCGGTCATCATTACGCCATGGCTCTAATCATGCAGCGCTGCAACGAGCTTCGCCACTACTGTGATACACTTAATGCTGCTCTGAAGACCAAACACGCAAGTCTTCAGCTAAAACACCAGCTGCTGCTTTGCCTGGGACAGGTGTTTAAACTAATGCATCTACACACACACAAACACATGCGATAACGTATATGCCAGACCTCCTTTATCATGACACATGTGTGTACTCACGCTCAGGCCCAAACTTGGTGTGATGATGGCGCGTACATGCTGGCCAGTCAGCTGGTTGATAAGTTCCAGTCTAAAGAGGGTGCCCAGGCGGCTCTGAAGGAAATCGAGAGATTCCTGGAGGAGGCGCCATCTATGCTGAGCTCAGGACCCGACATCCTGGCCATTGAATATGAGGCGGCTATCACACCTCGGCTGCAGGTCAGTGACTACAACACAAATGTCTTTTAAACGGGCTGAGGTGGACTGTACAGCCTCCCTCCAGCACTGACAGCTTTCTCGCCCTGGCTCTGTGTTCCCTATGGTCTCTCTCTTACGTCTCTGCACTGAAACCTTCTCTGCTCTCTCTCTTATTCCTTTTTCTCCAAGTTGTTAAAATTCACAGACATTGTGGAATATCAAACAGCTCAAATCATTTTTAAAGCTAAAAATAATCATCTACCAATAAATATACAGAATTTTTTCAGTATGTGTGAGAGACGTTATAATTTAAGAGGAAAAATTAACTTGAATCTAACTTTGATTCAGACAAAGAGGAAAGGTTTTTGTGTTTCAGTGAGTGGGGTCGGACTATGGAACAGGTTTTCCATGGAGTTAAAGCGATGTTCAAACATGACACAGTTTAAAATGAGGTATAAAGACACTAATTTAAGAGGTACAGGGATGAGGAAGGTGTTGGGTAGCACTAAGTGTTTTGAGGTTGTTGTTTCTTTTGATTTGTTTTTGTTTTTTTATTTTTTTTATTTCTTGTTTTATTTTGTTGTGTTGTTTTTATGTGCTGTATTAAGTGGATGTAGATTTTGTTTTGTAATACAAAGTCATGAACGTACTTTATTTATCTATAATTATCAGGTACATCTAAACAAGTTGCAAGGAAGCTTGGTGTGGGTACTTATTATTCAAAGAGAAGGGGTGGGAGTTCATAAGTTATTCTTCTTCTCACTCCTTTTCGAATATGTATTTCTATGTTTTATGTTTAAGTGTTTTGCCTCACTTTTCTTGTTTTTATTTTTGGTTTGCATATTGGAAATAGTAAACTCGAAATAATAAACTCCTGAAAATGGGGATTAAGGGAAAGTAAAACATGCTGCCTAACCCAGCAGGGGTGGGCTGTCTTTTCTAAGGACAATTCAGGAAGTCCCAGTGTTCTAGTCCTTTGACATAAATTAGCCTGTTCATAAATTTGTTGATTTAAAGTATCATGTCTTTTAGGTCTTATCTCAATCTTATTTTTTCCTCTTTAAAATCAAAGTTGATAATCCTTTCCCTGTGTCCTCCTCTCTCTTTGTTTTAGGCTCAGATTGGGGAAACATTTGAGAAGCATGCAGCAGTGCAGCAGATGATCCAGAACCGACAGGCTTCTCTAAGAAAGCTGGCTGACAAACATGTGCGACCGGTCCAACTGGTGGCCCCCAGGCCAGAAAACCCACCGCGTGCCAAGTCCCCACTCTTCTCCCCTAAACATGGTGCAGTACACACAAAGAGACACACATACAGAATGCATTATTATTTTTCCTCAAAAGACAGAATCATTTCTGAAACTGATGTTATTTCTGTTTTTTTATTATAAACATCTCCTTTCAGTTAGATGCCCCAGTTTGCAGCATATAGAGTTGTATTTCTCCAACTCCCTAACCACCCTCCTGTTTCTCATGCCCAGTATGGGGTCTTGTTCAGCCCTTATGGCCTGGCGCTATTCCCTCTCCCCATTGCATCTTTCCTCAGGGCACTGTGGTTGCATTTACACATCACAGGGTCCCACTGAGAAGGCCTAAGGTTTTCCTGAATGAGATGTGGGGTTAGCAGGCCACCTTTACAAACTAGCTGAAATGAGGGTAGGAGGTATAATCAGTCCACAGGGAGATACCTGACTGCTCTATTAGTCAGGGTAGCTGCTATAGAAGCATATGTGGTTCATATAGTGTACATTAAAGAACCTTTCATCCCCCCTCTGTGTCCCGTGGGAAGACTACACAACAGATAACACATACAGTGGTACCCAATTAATACTGTATGTGTTATCTGTTGTGTTTTTATTTTAATGTATGTTTTGTGAAACTCAATTTGTCTCGATCATTGAGCATGCGACAGGAGACGGATATTTTTATTCTCACTCAATTCATGTCTTAAAGGTTTCATCCTCTATGTTGCGTTCATTAGCCGCACTAATGAAAGTAACAACAAGAAAGAGAATGAAAGTGATTATGAACCCCTTTGAGGCCCTCATTGATACCACCCTTTAAAAGAGAAGATGAAGGAAAAAGTTGTTAGCTTTGATTCATTTCATCTGGTAGATGTATACTCACACATACATACATGCGCACCACTGATGAATCCATCATGGCATATGCGCGGGCATAAGACTCGGTGTGGGTTGGACTATCATGTAAGGCTTCAGCTGCTGGGATCAAAAGGACACTGACAGTCGTGCCAAACACTGCTTCAGATCTGCTCATACTGATCCCAGGCTGCACCTTTACAGCAGCAGCAACCTATCATCATTGATTACCTTTAATGTCAGTCAAAGCTGATTGATGTTTTTCAAGGAATAAAAAGGTCACGGACGGAGCGAGCGAATCCCTTTGAGGCCGTAAAGTTACACCGTTGAGATCACAATCATAAAAAGTGATTATTTTTGACTGAATGTGGGCGCTTAAATGAGACATCTCCTGGGTATTCATCATCGGACCAAATGGAAATATGCTGTATGTTAACTACACTTTTATACTTGAAAGAGACACTTCTGCAGTTACTCATGATCTCACCTTTTCAGGAGATGGTTTGAAGTTCACATTCGACATTTCTCTGCCTGGGAAGAGAGCATCCAGAAAGAGCCCTAACCCCAGAAAGGTATGGAAAAAAGACTTTCTTTGAACATAGTCACTGATTCCCTGTCATCATTAAAGCGTTATACGATTCTTCCTGCTTGGCCCGGTCATCTGGTTATGTTTGAAATACTCCAAAAAGCACTATTTGATTAAAATGTTCTCTATTTAAATCGCCATGAGTTAATTTTTGTTTCTGTTTACTGTGTCTTCTGTGGGTTCAGATTGAGGTGATACATGACTACCAGGAGAGCCGGAGCTGCGTGTCGTACAGTCTTGAGGGTGAGGACAGCCCGGATATCTTGAAACGGTGAGGAGGAGGAGGAGGCATCTGTCTGTGCTCAGTGCTGTTTACTCTATGATTCTCTTTGTTCAGTGCTAACGATGCCCTCTGGCTCTCACTCTGTCTCCTTCTGTCTGTATTGGTGTCACAGTCATGTGATGAGGGAGCTCATAGAGACGGAGAGAATCTATGTGGAGGAGCTGCTGTCAGTTCTGCTGGTAGGAAAATAAAATGTGTTAATCTTTCATTTTTACCAAGACACAAACACCTTTCTTAGTTATTTTCACACAGTGGGAAGCTAAACTCTAATATTATGTCATTCCGCTGTGTTCAAGGGTTTTAGTTGTATAGGTAAGTGATAGTGAGCAGGCTGTTAAAGCAGAGGATCTCCTTCAGGGTCAGACCGTCCTCAATCATCGCCTGACAACAAGAGGCGCCTGTTAATAGAGATGAGGATGAGACAACACCCCGCTGCTGAACTTCGGGGTCCTGCTCACCTTGTCAGGGCTCTAATTCACTATAACAACCTGCTCACTATACATGATCATGCTTATTACATGGCTGCTCACATAATGAATCATTCTGCAGCTATGCGATAAATGTGAGGTTTCTGACGGTCATCACCCACCCTGCTTTCAAATTGATTATGAAAAAAATACCAGTTTAAATAACATGACAACCCATTAATGTCAGCTAGATAGTACAACTGTTTGCCTTAAAATCCTAATTAATGAAGGTAAACTTAATACAAACGACCTGCTGGCCCACATTAGTGTAAAGATTATAATGCTGCCTAAGAACAAACTGAAAGCCAACATCACCATTAAGTAGTTTTACACAACACATAAAAGCAATTTCCTTGCTAACATGATGTTATCTTGGTTCATTTATCAAGCTAGTCTAATTTTAGCTATCACAAAATATGCAAGAGAGAAGCTGAAAACCATTTGGTACTTTGTGATTCCCTTGCAAACTTGAAATAAGCAAACAGAATAATCCTAGTGTTGTCTTGATGGTTCTTCAATGCTACAAAATCAGTTTATTAGGTTGTGAAACAGCTGTTTTATTTTGAAATAGATCAGATTTTCCCCCAGACGTTTATTGCCAACTGTTTTCTCAACAGCTGCTCATCGATTGAAAAGTGGAAAATTATTTTTGTCTGAAAGCAGAAGTCTTTAGTAAGCATATTTGACCTTCCCACCATCGGCGAAACATTAGAGGGTAGTTTTTCTTATTTTCTCATTCATTGTTCATTTTGATCCTGTGAACAGAAAAACAGAGATGCCACCTGTTGCTCTAAGAGACCCTCAGGACAAAGACACCCTCTGGTCTTGATTTGTACACTTTTTTATATGAGTCTGTTGAAACACCATGTTTGCGCACTGTAACATTTTGGCTGATTTATCTAGGTCATGTTGTTCATGCACAAAAAAACAGAACATACTTCCCTGATTGTAATGCATTTATTAAATATTACAGGGCTACAGGGCTGAGATGGACAACCCGGCTCTGTCAGGGCTTTTACCGCCGATCCTGCGCAGCAAGAGAGATATCCTGTTTGGAAACATGCCTGAGATTTACAACTTCCACAGCAGGCAAGTGATGCATGACTCACGTCACACACTGACCTGTTTGTTATGCCAAGACAAGCATATTTGTGATTTGTCACCAGGAGGAAAATATAGTCTTCATGTCTGCTGACTGTGTTTAGGAGATAAACCCTTTTAGAGTTGGACAGACTAAAGGAGTCAGTATTACTTTTGAGGTGACGGCAGCTGAAAATCTCTCAACAGTGTGACATCTAAGCTAACAGTTAGTGGAAGAAAGTCTTTATTAAGGCATGGAAGGCTAGTTAAATATAAGTGTGAGTGAAAGAATTACAACTGAAGTATTACAGAGTATATTTTATCTCTTTCTGCAGACTGAATGGATGGAGTTTGGAGGCTTACTCAAGAGTCAAATTAATGGTAGAAAGCCAAGAATGTGCTTTATAAAATACTCTATGAATCTGTTTGGCGAATCAAATAATTTAATCTATAATTTAGTGGAACTGGAGGAATTCAAACAAGGCCTGCCGGGCTAAAAATGACTTCAGATGTTCGTTTTTTAAAATAAATTTAAAACCTCAACTATCGAACTTGCAGCTCTCCAAAAACAGCATGTATCAACTAACAGGTTTGAATGCAATGACCGTCTCTCTTCAGCTTTTGGGATCAAACTTTTTGTCTTTTAACTTTTTGGTTATCCAGGGTTTTCCTTCAGGACCTGGAAGGATGTCTGGAGACTCCTGAAAGCGTGGGAGCTTGTTTTCTGCAGCGGGTGAGATGATATAAATGTTTATGTTGTGCCGGTGCAGCTTTCAGTTTGGACATTTGTGCATAATATGATTCAAAATTTACAAACAGATTTTTTTCTTTGCCGTCTCCTTTAGAAAGAGAGTTTCCAGATGTATGAGGGCTACTGTCAGAATAAACCTCGCTCTGACGCGCTGTGGAGACAGTTTTCAGACTGTGCCTTCTTTCAGGTCAGAAAATCCAACATTCATCTTTTTGTCACGTTAATTTGCTGTTTTAATGTAGAAAGATTAACAGGAAACTTTTTAGAAGTACTTGTATGAAGTTCTGAGTCCGGACTACTGCTCATTCAGTGTTTTAGTCAGAGTTAAAAAAAAGCAGTGATATAGTATTAATAAATACAATATTTCCTCTGTTTTGATTTGACTTTTTGAAGGAGTGTCAGAAGAAGCTGGAGCACAAACTGGGCCTGGATTCCTACCTGTTGAAACCCGTCCAACGCCTCACTAAATACCAGCTGCTGCTTAAGGTTAGACACAAATACGTAGACTCAATCCCTTTCTACTTTATATTTTTTTGATAATCCTTACAGTGAAATCCCAGAGAGGAGTAGCTTTGATAGCGAAAACTCAGAGAACCATTTCTAAAAAGGAATAAATCTGAAACAAAGAATTTCCACATTTGGTCACCACCAAATTCAAGAAATAATGTCTAAATTCAGGTGTATTCCTATACATATATGTTGTTTAAAAATAGGCATCCCTGTATTTAATAGCTTACTTAATACATTTGTAGTCAGACCAATGGATAACATTTAATTGTTCAAATTCAAATTGTTCAAAACAAATCTTTTGATATAAACTTTCATCTAAAGTGCATTGACACATATTTACCACTAGAGAGCACTGTTCATGCAACTTCATATGTTTTTTTAACCTGGATTTGTTAGTGCATGCATTTTCTTACAGTCTTTTTCCTTCAATGTATATAAACTCAGGAACTACTGAAATACAGCTCAGACTGTGAGGGGACTTCTGAGCTGCAGGGGGCGCTGACAGCGATGTTGGACCTCCTCAAATCAGTGAATGACTCCATGCATCAGATCGCCATCACGGGATATGAGGTGAAACAAAACTACTCTGATGTTAAAGGAGGCCTGTTTTCCTTATTTCCTCCTTCAGTTCAGTTTGTCTAGGACAGACGTAGATGATCTGCTGCTAAAAAGAACGACTTATTCATCTTATACTGGCGTCCATTGACATCTTTATTTTAACACTTTTTAGTATCTGCCTGAAATGCTGCCTGAAGAGCGCTTGTTTTAACACAGTTTTGTGAATTTTATTTGACATATACCTAATAATGAATAAATTCAGGTCATAATTCCTCTCTTTATTGTCCGCAGGGTGACATTTGTGAGCTGGGCCGTGTGTTGATGCAGGGCTCCTTCAGCGTGTGGATCAGCCACAAGAAAGGTCCCACAAGAATGAAGGAGCTGACTCGCTTCAAGCCGATGCAGAGACATCTCTTCCTGTATGAGAGAGCGCTGCTTCTCTGCAAGCGGAGAGAGGAGCACGGAGACGGCTGTGACAAGACCCCCTCCTACAGCTTCAAAAACTGTCTAAAGGTAAGTGTGCGTGTGTCTTTGTGAGAGTGCGTCTAGTACAGTTGCACCGAGCTTTAGGAACAACAAGACTAATCTCAGACTCTGTCATGCGACTAAGTGATATCAATCCATCAATAAAATATAGACTTACAAATGTATGTGCCATATATTGTCCATACAGTATACAATTCTTTCCATGTATTAAAGGTTATTAGTATATATTTAATATTACCTACTTTTACCTACTTAACTGTGCAATATTATCTGTGATGTGTAATACAGCAGTTCGTACACCATTATTTATCATGTGCATTATGGCAATGCATACCTCATTTATCCCACCGACTTATCCCCCATTTCATACATTCACACTCAGCACCTACTGCATCGCTTGTGCACTTTGTAAATATTTCTCTTATACTGTTATACATCTTTAATATTTTTGTATCCCTATTTTATTGTATTCCTCTCAGTACTTATTGTGTGTTTTATCTGTACTCCTTCGAGTCGAGCGGTCCTCTCGTCCAGAGCATTTCATTGCATTGTTGACATTGTTTAACATGCATATGACAAATAAACAGATCTTGAAATTATGTAGACAATAGGAAAATGCCAATATGGAATTTTGACCTCTTATAAAGTCTAAAGAATTAACTGCAAAATGTTAAAGAAATGTGTTTAAATTCGTGTACCAATGTTAAACAGGTCAGACTTCAGTTAGTTTCCCTGCTGGCTAAAGGACGTGCTTTGCTCCTCCATCACTTCTTTTGTTATACGAGTTGATGCCTGAGCTGTAACACAGCTGGTGTGTCACCTCCACTAGCTGCTGCTGCTGTTGCTCTTGATATATTATTGAGGATGTGGGGAGGAAGCAGTCACACAGCGGAGGTGTGTGTGAGTGTGAGTGTGCGCGTGTTACTGTTTGTGTTCTAACGGGACAGATGTGTTACATGATGTAAGTCTGATGTATGACGCGCTGCTCGTCCTAATGCAGTGTCTGTGTGTAGGTGTAAACAGCGTATGTCTCTTGGCAGATGACTGCTGTGGGGATCACAGAGAACGTCAAAGGAGATGTGAAGAAGTTTGAGATCTGGTACAGTGGCAGGGAGGAGGTGTATGTGGTTCAGGTAGGAGTCTAAGTATTTCATGCTGTGTGATGACGACTTGATCCTTTATCTGTTGATTTTAAAATGTCACTTTAACTATTTCAAATTGAAACCACCTTGTCTAATTTCATGCAGATATTTAAGATATAAAAAAATGTGTAAAAATGCAGAGAATATAGGAGCTTTATATAAACACATATATCGAGCGCTGTTATCTACCTCAATGCCCCCTGTAATGTTTCTGTCATCCTACAGGCTCCTTCAGTGGAGGTGAAGATGGCCTGGCTCAATGAGCTCCGCAGGATTCTGACCAATCAGCAGAAGCTGTTAAGAGGTCTGTGAACTACCTCAGAAAATATAAGTGCACAGTCCCCTCACTGGATTCAAAGCTTTGAACTTCTTCACACAACCCCCAGAGACCTGGAGATGTGCTTCAAAGCTGTGAAACTTGTGAGCAGAGGGTCTGAGCTTTGATTCTTGTCTCCTTACTGTATCAACATATCCAAAAGAAGCTTGAAAGATAAAGTTCATTTTGGATGGGCATTGGATGTTTTTTAAATTTAAACACACACTTCAACCTACTCCAGTGATACAAATCTGATGTGCATTTCTGTAGTACCACAATTCTTTGTAAAAATCCATCTACTCTCATTCACAGATGAAGCGTATCATGGTCAGCTGGTTGGACACATGCAGCTTTCTCCTTCCCTCTCAGAGAGGTCAGTTCCTGTTGTTTACAGATACAGTGTTTATAGTGTGTAAAGTGCATGATGAGTTGTAGTTGCACACTTGTACAAACCACAGACTGTATATAGAATGGACAGAGTCTGCCTCCTCGCTGGGTGAAGCCACTCCGAGAACAGCACCCTCTGTTGACGGGCTGCAGTATAGGTCATAAATCCCGCCTCACACAGAACATAAACTTTTTGTGCTCAAGTCCTCTTTTTTCTGTGAAGCTCGGTTTTTAAAAGTTATTAGGGGGTTCATGTTTTCTATGATTGACACTTGATACAGCCTATGTGCGTACGAAGATTGTGTAGCTCTACGCTGTTTGAGCTGAGCGTCATCACAGCGACTCTCTGCAACTCTCTCGCCGAATGCGTACAATGCTACTGCGCAGTGCTGGTTTCAGGAAATGAAGAAAAATCACGGAATTACTGAGAGCTTTTTGGCTTCAAATCCGTATACAGGTGGGAGGCGGAACCAAGTTGTCCATAGTATATACAGTCTATGGTATAAACACACGACTAAAAACACATGCAGCTACAGCACTACTATCTGCATTTGCTGAGTTTTCATATCAAATCACAGCTTGAGTGAATGTGATGATGTCAACTCATGTTGCTGTGGTAACAGCTTTGTGTATAGTGTAGGGGTGTGAGAGGATGTGTGCAGGCCCCATTTTCTCCACTGCTGTCTAGTTGCCTATCCCCACTCCTCCCATCCCCCCTACCTGCAGGGGCATGCGGCCGTCCAGAGGGGTTCCCAGGGGCTGTCTGCCGGGGCTGGACTTTGTCTCACTGTCAGCCGATGTCTTTCTGTGCCTGCGTTCCCGGAGCCCCCGGCCCAGAAGCCCCCGGCAACGGCCCCGACCGCGCCCCCGCCACCGCCCTCAGCGCCACTGATGCTCAGCCCTAACGCTCAGTGGTAAACTAAGCCTGGCTCACCTCGCCCTGGCATGATACACCCAGCCCAGCTTGGGGACTTAAAAACCTCAGGGCTGCTGTGTTTGCATACTGATCGTCACCTGCACATTTTTAAATCCTCCATTGTGGTTCATAACTGACCCCACACTCCCCTGCAGCATTGAGAAACCTGTATCACAGTGACCCCCTCATTGGATTTCTAACATGGTGTCAAAAAACTCTCTTTTTTTCTGCATCTCAGATTTGCTATTTTGCATGTAATGCAAAGGGCGAACAAAACAAACAGATTCTGCTCTTCATCCCATGAATTTTCTTAATTTCCTCATGACAGCTGATTTTCTCAGATGGGGCTCGTTTTTTGAGATCTGCAGAATTAATTTCTCACAATCTCTCCTATGAAGCATCTCAAAATTGAAAGACCAAATGTCAAAATTTGGATCTTGATAAATCGAGGCCAGATCTACCCTGACACATGCAAACCTTGTGTGAACATCAGTACTTCCCACTTTGACAGAGGAGCTTGCACATGGCTGCTCTGTGCTCTGTCTTGCTGTCTGGCTGGTCCCTGAATAATCATGGCTGTGTGAGAAATGACAGGACAGAGTTGTTCTCTGCCACTGATCCTGGGCCGGTACAACCGCTGAAACAGAACAGAGCTGCAGAGCTGACCCTCGATTGTGTGGTTGAGGATAAAATCTATCCTGAGAGTGTCTGCTGCTCACCGAGTTCAGGGTTTGTTGAAGCTAGTGTTTTGGTTTGTTCCCCCAGCAAGCAGCAGAGGGTGTCGGTGAGCTCAGAGGACACTGAGTCGGGGAGGAGCAGTCCGGACCCCCAGCCTCACTCCCCTAAACACCAGCACAACCGAAGGAGTGAGTGGATCATGTCTACACACATTCATGCCCAAAATCAAGTAGATACTTAGTAACTAAATCACAAAATGATGTTGGAATCTACGTGAATCATGTTTGATTTCCACATTAACTCACTTCTACTGATTGTCTTTTGCAAACTTCGACTGATGAAGATATTTGATTTTTCATCCCTCAGCAGTTCAGGTGTACTTTGACCTGAAGAACCAGGTACAGCGAGGCATTTTGGGGAAAAAGGTCCTCCTACTGAGATTAGCTTTTGATTCCACGTTCTTGTTAATTTCCCAGTAAGTGAAAAAGAATTGACAGTGATTTTTAGTTACTAAGTATCTACTGTATCTAGTACTGGGTGCCTTTAAGTGTGTAAAGTGTAGATAAATGCATTAATAAATACCTCAATAATGTGTCTGTGTGTGTGTGTTTGTGTGTTTGTGTGCCCCAGGCTGGCCCGGAGCTCCTCACTCAGTAGACATCTGCGAGGGTCTGGAGGAGTGGTCTGGAGGTCAGGACGCCTTCCACCCATCTGACACAGAGGAGGAGGTTTTGGTGACACTGGTGAGACATCATATGGTGTAGTCCCATTTGAAGTGAAACAGACTTTTTAGACCTGTACTTATGGGGATAATTGCTGGTATTTACAATGATTATACTGCAGCACTCTGCTTTAGTCTAAACAGGTCTGTTTAGTGACCACAAAGACTGAATTATTGCCTCCGTAAGGTCCTTTACATGGAGCGTCAATGTAGCAGATGAGCTCAGACAGTGGTTACGCTGTTACTACCTGCCACTCAATCCACAGAGATTCATAAAATCCACCTCCACTGGTAACTTGTCATCTTAAGCTGAGTCTTTTCAGTCAAACCTGCGCTCCTTCCGTAATATTTGGGTTAAAAAAGTGACAAATCTCAGTGCATGATTATGATATACTGAGGAAGAGGAGCTGTTGAGAAGCGGTGCCGAGGATTGTACATAATGCTTTACATCCAGAGTACAGAAGTGGTCGCTTGCTTGCTGCATCCTCTTGATATTACACACTAAAACACCTCCATCAGCATTTGACACAGGTGGCACAGATGAATAGGATGCAGCTTTCTTTAGATGACAAAAATGGTATTAAAACGTGAATGCATGTCGGGCCAAATTTTATGGTATTATGAAAGGGGATTACAGCAAGAATATCTCATTTCGGCAGTAGCTCAGGAGGTAGAGCGGTCGTCCAATGACCGGAAGGTTGGCGTTTCGATTCCCCCCTAATCCAAGTCTGTCCGTTGTGTCCTTGGGCAAGACACTTAACCCACCTTGCTCCCAGTGTGTGTCCTACACTGGTGTATGATTGTGAGTGTTGTGTGGTGGTGGTTGGAGAGGCCGTAGGCGCAGAATGGCAGCCACGTTTCCACCACCACCAAAGTGTGACTGTGTGAGCGAATGAATGATGTATCCAATGTAAAGCGCTTTGAGGGTCTCTGATAAAGCGCTATATGAAAATCTGATGCATTAGTATTATTATTATTTCTCTCGTCTTTGTCCTGAAATGAGTCCTTGTTTTTGTCTTAACTCATTCATTACTATCAGTTCTTTTTGAGTGAGCGATGTATTTCGACCCCAGGTGGGTGCTGTTGTAAAAAAGTAGTCCAGTGTATCACAGGTTTACTGTCAAAAAGAAGACTCAGCATGTTCAAACTTATGGAAAGTTTCTCTTTCTGCACCATGTTGTTCAATTCTATTCTAATACTTTCTTTTGAAGAATATCAGAAATGGTATTTTCGCGCTTTTGTTTGATGTTATTTTTGTTTTTGTCTGTTCCTAATTCTCCTTTCTGACATATTCTGCCTCTATCTCTGAAAGTTTTATATTCGGTCTTCATCATATGAATAATATTTTAATAACTTTCCTTATGATGGTTTTACTTCTGTTTCAGTCTCCGGGCAGATACAGGGCTCTGGCTGACTGTCTTCAAAATGGACCAGACAGCATCCCTATTAAATGTGGAGATGTCGTCCAACTGCAGTGTGAGGACAACAGGGGGCGCTGGTGAGTTTGCACCCTCTGGACACACATGAATACAGTCTAATGGAAAGCAAAACTAGGCTACAAAGTAAATTTATGAAATTCTCTCTTCTCACTCTTTCATCCGTCTTTTTTGACTCGTTGATCCTGCAGGTTTGTGAAAAATTTGAGCCGGCGTCAGGAGGGCTTCATCGGCGCTGCGGGCCTGCATCAGATTCTAGCAGACAGCAGTCGAGGACACAACTCTAGACTCGGGGGTAGGTAAAAGAGATATGCTCTAAAATGACAGTGTGTTACTGAGCATTTCTATTTCTTTACTTTGATTTTGTTTTCTAATTCTCAATATGCTTTCTAGATCCAGGGACTCGAAAGGCGAGGAAGCTCAGCTCCCCGTGAAGAAGGAAGCCGAGGATAAAATCAGATATTTACCTGTGGACAGTGACCTGACTGAAGGGTAAATTGAGCCATAGTTGTCCAACCTCATTCTGTCTGCTCTTTTCAGCACATTTAATCAATGGAGAAAGAACACGGGGATGTACAGACCTGACTTTCCTCCTTCAGGTTTTTTGTCAATCATCTGGGCCAGTGTCACCTGAGAACAAATATGCGCTGTGACTGTGGCACCGAAAAAACACAGGAACGGTTCAGACAATCAACTGTTGATCCCTGGATCCTGATAAGTCTTCCTCTTTTTTGAGTGGTGATGAGTAATTCGTCCTGGCACGCCACCTGCAACACCAACACATTATCAGACGGTGAGGTCTGTGCTGCAGCAGCAGGTCCTCTCACAGACTGTGGACATTTTTCAACCCTGTCTCAATCCAGCTACATGATAATCTCTTCTTCCAGTGTGTGTTCCTGTTTGCGTCAGTGTGTGCAGTAACCCAGGGTTCACCTGAAAGATTTCGTAAAGCCCAGATTTTTGTACATTTGTCATTTTTAACATTAAGTGTACCTCAGTGTTTCATCTTTGTGTAACTTGTTGACATTTCCATTCCAGGAAATCATGATATTTTTTCCTGAATGTCATACCTTGGGCACCTTTTCTTCTGTAGACAATGTAGGAGTTACAATGCCAAAATGTGCCATACCATAATGCCTTTTTAATTCCTGCTCTTTCGGAGTCTGTTTGCAAAATCAAATATCTTTTATTGCTTCGACGTGACCTCACAAATATCAAACTGGCACTTTATGGAGGTGGACAGACAATAGAGGCAAAAAAATCCACCTATTGTGTATTGAATGTGTGCTCTGCTTGTAGCTTTACCTCTCTAAATGAGTATTGTCCTTGTTCATGCTGTTTTTCCTTTGTTTATTGATTTGATGATGTGTTCGGGAGTCAGGGGAGACATAACCCCCTGCATGCAGAGACAGCAGTTGTCATGTCACTGATGCTAATGTCAGATACCAGCGGACATGATGAAGATTGATGGCAGTGAATTCCTCTGTGTGCGCTGTAGCAAGAATGTTTGGCTCTTACCTCTAAGCACCAAAAATTCTCATCCTCCTCTGGAGGTTTGGGGAGCCCACTGTCAGATTCAGGAAAGGGAGCGCTAAAGAAAATAGAGAGATTGTGCTGCTTGTTCCCTCCTTTGGTAAGGCAGATTGTTTCCTCATCACCATTACAGCTCAGTTAATCTTGGGCTCCCCATTAAAAGGGATCATACAGCTAACATGAAATATAGCTTATAGAGTTGAACGCTTAATTAAATATTGATTGCAGACTTATATGAATTTACCACATCAAATCTAGGCCTCAGTCGGAGGGCTGCCTTTGATACGCTGTGTTTGATATGGAAATGAGTTTAGAAAGCAGCAGGGGCTGCTGTGCACTACACATTTCCTATGTTGTTAATTTATTTATTTTGCTGTCATGTTGTTCCTTCATATTGTGAGGTATCTGTGCAGCCCCCAAAGACATTACATCTGCATATATTTACAGGAGTGAGGTTTCACTGCATATCAAAATCTCTTTTTTTTCCTATTGACTTACTATGACAAAATCAGATGTTTCCTTTGTGATTTTAATCCAAAATGCTGCACATTTTTGCACAGTTTTTCCACAGTGGAAAACAAAAAGAAGGCTTGAATATCATGGATCCTGATGAGCCAAGTAGCCTATGCTTGTTGCTGAAGATTTCTTTAAAATGAAAATGCATGGCAACTAAACAATTGGCAGGTTTGTATTGATAAACACACTATTCTTACAGGCTTCTTCTACAGCTTGACTTTTTAAAAATCTGATAAAACTTCACGGCAATAAAAGCATAGTGTAAATAATTGGGAACTTAATTTAGCACAGCTACAGATTGGCTTTAAACTAAGATGACTGTTTTTCATACACTGCAATTTAATCTGTTGTTTTTGTCGTTGTTTTCTTGGTTCATGGAGGCCAACTGATGTAATAAAATTGAGTTTATTTCTCCACCTGTGAGTTTTTCCTTAAGTGAATCTATGTGGACTTAAGCGGAGAAAAGCTGTGCTGAAGTGTTCCTGAAAAAGCTGAGTCTTTGGTTTTTTTCTTATAGATAGAAATAGTTTCTGTTTCATGTTGTATATTTTTAAAACCATATACAATCCTCGGGGCTTTTTAAATGCAATTAATTTCTGAATTTCATTTGTAATCAGTTAATCACAGTAATCACAAGTTTAAATCTAAATTATTATGCATTTCAAAACATCTTTAAAGTCTTTATGAACATTAACTTCTTACTAGTGTCTGTTATTTCTGACTCATCAACTATGTGCCATCTGGGAGTTATTTTTGGGGGGAATATGCCTTTCAAAAGCACAGTAGTATTATTTCTTGTCACTGCAGTATCAAGGAGCAGGGAGACGTGTCAGTGTTTTAACTACGGTGTACCAAAAGGGACAAAATAGCACAAGGATGAGGAAAAAATGGCTTAAGTTTCGATCCAATCATGATTAAGGTTAAAGCTGACAGCCTTAAAATGATCAGAGTCGTCTCAAAGTCTCTCCTACATAACTACACTTCATTTTTCAACCTGTTGATTCATCAAAAGTGATTATTATAAAGTTCCTCCAGTCAACTGTTAAAAGTGTTATAATCTTCACCAGACTTGGGCATTTTGCGGCCCGAGAGCCACATCTAGCCTTCGTGAGGTCCGTCAATGAAAACATAAACATGCTTTACAAGTGTGTTGCTTCTATATTGAAAACCTAGCCGTTGCTTTATTTTCATTTGGACGCATGTGAGAACATCCTAGATCTGCATTCGTGAAGAGAGACAAGTTTAAACATAGTCATAATATACATAGATGCATCATAGTTGCCAAGTCCGTTTATCATAAACAACTTTTGGCTTGTTTTACTCAGAAGTCAGTTGGACTGTCTTCTGTGTGTCCACTTGGCTCAGAGGATAAGAGGACTGACTGAGACTCCTGAGGTTGTAGGTTCGAGCCTTATACAGTGCAAGGGGAATTTTTAAAAGTTCAGTGTCTAAAGAGGAGAGTGAAAAAGGAAACAAACAGAGTCATCACTTTCTTCAAAATTTCACCCACCTCTGACTTACTGTCTCATGACCTCCCTGTTTTACCTCTCTAGAAACACCGTGGGGAAACCCCCCGGGCCTGGTTCCCCAGGATTTGCTTCAGAATCTCCTTTGTGCCGAGTGGGTATTGAACCAGGGCTGCCCGCCTGACTTGCATTTGGGTGTCAGTTGTCTACCGCACTGCACCAGCAGATACAATCTTCACTTCGGGATGACCTCAGCACCCTTTTATCTTGGTACTTTGTCTCCTGGACTTAAGAATTTGTCCTGGATAAGGATCGAAACCAACAACCTAAGGAATCCCAGTCAGTCTCCTTATCCGCTGAGACATGTGGCCACAGAGGAGTATTATGTTAGTTTCCTCTTTCACTCTCCTCTCTAGACACTGAACTTTTTTAAAATTCACCTCACCCTGGATAAGGCTCAAACCCATGACCTCAGGAGTCCCAGTCAGTCTTCTTATCCTCTGAGTCAAGTGGACGCAGAGCTCAGTCCTCACGAAGGAACCTCACAAAGGGCTGGGCAGGGTAATCCAGAGGGCCGAATGTGGCCGGATGAGGCCCTCGGGCTGTAAAATGCCCAGGTCTGGTGTAGATTATGTGCATATTGGTCTGTTACATAGCGAAGGGCTTTTTGACCACTGGCCAAGATGTCATGCACAGAAAAGACAAACTGATTGTTGCAGAGTTGAAACCTCCGACCACACTGTGTTATCATCAGATTTGTGGGTTTAATTCCAGTTTTTGAATTAAAACAGCATCAGGCATACACATTGTTTTTTTATTAGACATGCTGTACATATGTAAACCAGTTACATTTTTTATATATTTTTGATGTTTAATCTTCAGGGTCAGGTTCTTCAACATTCAGAGCCAGCCTGTGCCTAGATAATCCCATCATATGGTTTATCCAGCGGTAATAAAGGGACAAGCGGGTGTATACACCGTATTTTCCTTCTTTTGCACACTCTTCTCCCCAGCTCACGATGCCTGTCAGGAACCAGGTGTCATAAATCTTGTTGGCATGGGGGCCTCCACTGTCCCCCTGACAGGCATCTTTCTCCTCATCATAGTATCCTGCACAGAACATGACAGGAGTGATCCTGGCACTGCTGGTGCGCTTACACTCTGTTCGCTCAGTGTAGGGAACCTCCACCTTCTGCAAATTAACAGCTGTTACTCCAAGGAAGCGGGTTCTCCCCCAGCCGCTGACTGTAGCCGGGGAGGACTCCCTTACCAGGGCCTCAGTAAAGGCTTTGGGCCCGATGCAGATAGGTCTGATTGTGGCGGTGAAAGTGATGGCGCTTGCCAGGTAAAGCAGTGCAATGTCATGGTTGTATAAGCTGATGCTGGCATTATACTGAGGGTGCACAAGCTCCTCCAGCACCTCATGATCCTGCTCCCGACCCTCGTTGAGGTAGACATTTTGCTCTCCTGAGGGTAGAAAAATTATACACTGATGATTCAAGTTTCTATAAAACCTATATTTGAAAAATGAAGTACAAATAGACGGAGAAAGACACTCTGAAGGTTCGGGAAAAAAAAGATTGAAATGTAAAAAGGAAAAACTAAAATAAAAATAAATAAGTGACAAAGGTGTGCTTGAAGAAAGAAAAGAAAACAGAAAAGAAAGAAAAAAAGACAAAGCTAGGACAAAAATAATTAGACATAAAAAGGAAAGAAAGAAATAAAGGGAAGAAAGAACAACAACAACAAAAAGACAGAAAGACCAAAGAAAGAAAATAAACATTAAAGACAACTGTTTAAAAACAATTATTAAAGAGGATTCAGGTATTAAGGTAGAAAAGAATTAAAAGAATAAAAGAAACAGAAAGGGGACAAAAGAGAGAAAGAAAAAAGAAAGGAAAATGAAAAGGAAAGAAAGAAAGACAAGGAAAAAGGAAGAGAGAAAGAGAGAAAGAAAAGGAAAGAAAGAAAGAGAAAGACAAGGAAAAAAGGAAGAAAGAGAGAAAGAAAGAAAAGGTAAAAGGAAAGACAAGGAAAAAAAGGAAAGAAAGAAAGAAAGACAAAGAAAGAGAGAAAGACAAGGAAAAAAGGAAGAAAGAGAGAAAGAAAGAAAAGGTAAAAGGAAAGACAAGGAAAAAAAGGAAAGAAAGAAAGACAGAAAGAAAGAGAGAAAGATGGATAGAAAGAAAGAAAGAAAGAAAAGGAAAGAAAGAATGAAAGGAAAGACAAGGAAAAAAAGTAAAGAAAGAAAAAAAGAAAGACGGATAGAAAGAAAGAAAAGGAAAAAAGGAAAGAAAGAAAGAAAAAAAGGGCTTTTCTATCTAATAATATAAGTATTTTCTTTTCTGTTTCTGTATTTGTGGTGTGAAAAAAATGCCACTACTGACCAAAATAAAGTTTCTAAAGCGATCATGTTTGTCCTTTCACAAAATAGCAGACTATTTCATCAATAATATATTGATCAGCTATTGGTTTGGCAGAAGTGGAATTGAATCTTACCCAGTCTGACAAAGTAGGAGCCCTGACCCTCCACCAGGCAGTGAGCTGCAGTGATAACCCACCTCTCGCTGAGAACGGAGCCCCCACAGAATAACTGACCGCTGGGACGAGCTATTAAGGCCGCCTGAATAAAAGATAGAGAGGAACTGAAGAACCTGCAGCTTCAGATGTCAAAGTCTTACATGTACTGAACTTTTTCTCCCATCCAATACCTGCCATGGGACCTCTCCTGGAAGCACCTCCTTGCCTCCCACGATGCGTTTATGAGGCCGAGGCTGCTCTTCAGTGAGGGCCTCGTGCTCTCCGATCACCCACAGGGGGAGTTTCTTCACAGGTTGGTATCCTACAGTTGGAGTAGACGTGGTGTAGCTGGATGAAGTAGAAGGAGGAGATGTAGTTGAGGTGGTGTTGATTAGTGAAGCGTTGCTCTTCAGGCTCATGTTCATGTGGTCTAGCAGAGATCTTGAGAGTACCGAGCTGGACGGTGTCAGAGCGGTTCTGCCACAGGGGAATTCAGCTGGGTGTGGGAAAAGAGGATTTACACAGAGGAATTAAGAGGAAGACGTTTTGCTGAGAATATATCAAAAGGAGGTTGATACCATCTGCTTCACAGCTCTCGCCATCCTGCTTTAGCCTGTATCCTTTCGCACATGAACACTTCGCTCCAAAGGTTTCCATGGATTCACAGAAGTGCATACAGCCTCCATTATTCACATCACACCTTTTCGCTATAGCTAAGGAAGAGAAAGAGCATATTCACAAAGGCACATATTAACTGCTGCAAGACAGACCTGAATAATTGTGACTTCTCCTCAAAACCTTTCAAACTGTCAAATAAACGCACAATTCAAGTAGATGCAGACAGGACTCAGAGCGAGGGCACTGGAGCTGCTGTTTATAGAACATCCGAAAAAGAACAAACGATCTAATTTGGGAGCTAAAACAACAGAGTCTGCAGGCGATTGATTCAATTTAGAAAACAGAAGAAAAAGCATCAGGATGGTTCTCCTTTGAGACCAATCTGATCAGATTTCATCCCATCTTTGGAGAATATCTGTATCATGAAGCATAAAAATCACATTTCTTTTGATGAGGTTTTTTTTAAAACAGCATTACGTACTAATCCCACAGTTTCTGCCTGTGAACCCAGATGAACATGAGCAGGAGTAGTAGCCCAGGTGGTCTGTGCATGACCCTCCATTCAGACACGGGTTGGATTTGCACTGATTGCCATCTGAAGGAAAACAGACACAGAATACCGGTTTACAGTATATCAGGAAATCAACCTGAGGTGAAAGGAAAAACTGCAGCAATGATTAGAAATCTCAGAGAAACCATCTTCCTTTTACCTATATATCTTGCCCAGAACTCCATCTAAAACACAAAGTACAATCTGAAATCAGTGAAGCTGGGGAAACAGGAATGTGCTGAAATCAAAATAATAACATGATAAGTCCTCACCGTCTTTTCATCATTCTCAAAGATCTCCCTGGCCTCCTCTAGGTCGCACACTTCTTCTGTACACTCTCTCTCCAAGTCCCCTTCACGGATCTCCTCAAACACACCGGTGTTGGCGCGTTTGTGTCTCTGCAGGACACTGTCTGCGGCTGGACCCGGGAGGAACACCGGACCTGGAGCGGTCAAAATAAAATACAGAGCGTTTGTGTTCAAGTGTATCGATTGTCTCGTTCTATTCAGATAGATTTTTTCAAAAGAGTAAAAATGTAATAAATTAATCTAAATAATCAAAATAAAGAAATTTACAAGCAACATAAATACTATTTCATACCTCCATAGCTGCGCTGAGAGTCCAAAAGAAGCAAACACAAAACAGACAAAGAAAACAGTGCCATGCTAAACACTTCAGATATACTGACACACTAACATCCAACATCAATCCAAAGTACAGACCTTTGTTTGCACATGCACTCCCACAGGGAAAAACGCAGTGACTCTGTCTAAATAAAGCCGGTGTGTCAACATGCAAATGCAACAACAGGGTTTCCTTTGTAGCTCAAGAATGCTTGGTTCTGTTTGTGAAATTGTAAAACACCAGCGAAAAAATGGATTTCCGCTTTTTGTGGAGTGTCTCACATTATAGTCCCAACAGGTTCACTAAGAGTCTGTCTGTATATGATTTACATCTCTGCTCCCACCAGGCCTGCTGTCATGCTCCACCTCTTTTCTGTCAGAGTTCAGTTAAGGTTACCAAAGCAACAGAAAACAAATCTGTCCTGATTTTGAGGTAGCTACAAAAATCAAAATCCAAACATTTACGTGATATTAATAATGTCCTGCAGATGAACATATCCAACGCTGTATTCCATCAGTGTCTTTTTGGAGAAGTGGGATTTTTCACTGGTTGTGAAACAGACTGAAATTATTACTGATGTCTCTCATCAACCAAGACAACAAAGAATAAAAATTTGATGACTTACTACTGTTTTTTTGTATGCCTGTGAACATTGCCATGGGGTAGGTATGTTAGCACAAACACAACACTGTAAATCCAGCTATCTAATAAATATCTTCGCTGTGAGTTCAGACTGTAAACCTAAAGGTATCGGACAAAAAGAGATGAACTGTCCAGCTTTGCCTGCAGGAGGAGCCAAATTAAGTCAACCCACGCTCCTCCCAACATGTTTGTGAGGAGCATAAGGAACATCCCATTGTTTTCTCTACATATCATCCATTTTATAAAAAACAATGTTGGATTTTTATCTAATTTGTAGCAGATATTTGACATGTTGGATACTCTTAGTATACAAAAATCAGAACGGTTCAGGTCTTCATTGTTCGAATTGAGCTTAATGAAGTCTATTTAATGTTTAAAATTTCAGAATCCAGATCATCTCTTTTAAAAACTGACTCAAGTCTTACATTCCATGACATACTGAATACATGACATACTGAATCTAGATTTTCCTGAGCGCTCAGTCTTCTACAGGCAGTACAATGGTTGTAATGCAATTTGGTGTTTTGCCCACAAGATGGTGCACATGCACCTCGGTCACAGACATAACGTCACCAGTGGCTGTGCAGATTTGTAAGCTCATGTTAATATCATTTATCACTGGAGCACAATGATAAATGAGCAACAGAGCAAGAGAAAAATTAAAAGAAAATATGTGTGTGTGTGTGGATCTTTAACAATCAGACACAGTCAGGCCTCAAATGTGAATAATGATTGTTTAAATATGATTTTTTTACCTTTATGTTAGTGGACACTTCAGATGTTCTCATCTAAAGGAATTTTTTGGGTCAGCGGTAAATCAGTGTTTGAGAGATTGATGCAGTGTTGATGGGAATGATATGAAGTTGGTGCTGATTCAGCGTCCCAGTCGAAGATTTAACTCCGGTGTCACTTTGTGGTCTGGCAGAGAAGATGCAGCCCATCACCGGCTCTGACATCCCCCCACAGGGAGCCCAAAGTCTTCTCAAGTGTTGGCAACTATTGACCGGAGGCATTTATATTTCATTGAATCGTTGAGGGGCTAAATTATTCATACTTAATTAACACTGTCTGCTCAATACAGGAGATTCTCCATCACTCTGAGCCAGTATGGACAGCAGAGTCAAGTAGGTATGGTGCGTTCACTGACACTATTAGGAGTGTAGAATTTTGCATCACTTCTCTCAGTGATCTCATGGGTATTCAGACTATGGTCTAAAACAGTGTGCGTGGACCCAGCACTGCACGTGTTGAGTCATATTTCTAAATCCAAGTCTGTTGCTGAGCTTTGTTTGGAGTCTGTGGGCTTTTCAACCACAGTGACATACTTTCCACATTGTCTTTGAGCTTTGTTTAATGGCACAGTGGACGCTCACCCCTGGCAGGGATTATTACAGTATGTACAGGAGAAAATAGCAACAGTGGTTCTTGCTCTTAGCACTGAGGTGATGACCTGTTAGCGGCACATGCTAACATGACTGTATTCGACAGCTGGAGTGGATTCATGGATGGATATCAGGCAGTCGAATTGTCTGACTGACTATTGATTTGTGAAGCACTCGCTGTCATCTCTCTCTCTCTCTCCCTCTCTCTCTCTCTTTGGCAGCAGCACACAGCTGGGAGAGTCTGTGTCAGCTCCAATTAGATTAGTCAGTACAGCAGGGGGATGGAGTCAGGGCCTCACAGATAATAAAAACTCTGATGCTTGCTCATTGCTATTGATTGTTACTGTACGGCCCAGATCTCAGTCTTTCACCAGGGGCATGGTGTCATTTGCAGAGGGCTTATGTTGTGCTTTGGTAAAAACGCTGCTCTCTACTTGTAAATGAAGAGGTTTGAGCTCTGACAATGGTTGTAGGATTCTGGGGAAACATGTGCAATAACCAATACACAGGGATAATTGAATTGAAAGGAAATTTTAAAGAATACTCATGATATAAACATAATCCAGAAGAGCACATTTATGGAGCAGAGTGCAATCATATATGAAAATGTGTAAGTTTAACTACTACTAATGTTAAGATATATGAATATAAAAAATCTTGGTTGATAGATATTTTTGATCTTGTCAAACAATTCAAGCATTATTTCTAGATTTTAATATCTTATATTCAGATTTTTTTTTTCTGGGCTTGAATGTAGCTCAGATTAAAAGTAATAAGAAATTCTAAGTAGAGAAACATGACTAAAAGACTTTCTTTGCAGGTAAATTGCTACACATTATTCCCTTAGATCAAACCTACAACATTAGCTCGTGCTACCTTCCACCAAGTTTCATCATAATCATAACACAACATAAAAAATGAACTTCTGTGCAGATCTTAACAAATGACAGCTGCATTCCCTTAAAATTTGACCTGCCATAAGTGAGTAAGAGAAAGCGACCATGGAAGACAACCTACATTAAACTGTGTGAAATAAATCCTCTATATGTTTGTGGTGAGGAGGAGAAAATCAACTAGATCAAAATCTCAATAAAGGAACATTTTTCTCCATCTCAGTATTTGGTATTAAGTATTTAGAAGTTTGTCAGAAACTTTGTGACTTTGCTTCTAGAATCATTATTGACTGTCTGTGTTTTGGCTGCAGCTCTCAGACAAACATCACAAACACAGACACTTTGGTGCTCTGATCAAATCACACCATCATAGTTCTCTGCACTCTGGAAAATACAAAATAAAAACAACTTCTCACTGAATCCTAGTTTATTTGTCGACCCCAGTCTGTAAAATATAACATTTTGAATTTCCAGTGTAGGTGAGTTTGAGTGACACTTGAATGATAAACTGTTGATATAAAAAGATCTTTTGATCCTATACGATGGCGCTGTCTATAGATAGTTCATCCTCTGGCTGACATCATTATGTATCATATGTATTTATATATATATATATACTGAGTGAAAAAAAGCAGAGCTCTCAGCTCTCTATATATTTGCTTGGTGACATGTCTATCTAGGTTAGCTTCTGATCCCCTTTTTTCCCTCTCTGAGACAGTTTTAGAGCAGTCCACCAGCAGCAGAGGAAAGGGTCTGTTTTACAAAACACTGAACACAACTAGCATGAAGTTTATCATCAGGTGAAAGAAAATAAGACTCTTATTTGATGTAAAATCATATCTTCCTTAGAGATGGATGGAAACTTAACAAACCCACCATTTGAAAAACAGCAGAGATGACAGGGAGGTGGTACATCGCTGTCATGTACGGAAAAATAGGTGTAAAAATATGAAACAGAAGCTTACAAAGGGGAGAAACATGTTAAAAGGCATTTAATCTGACATTTCTAGATTAAGGTTAACTTCCTTGCTAAGTGTTACTTGAGGAAAAATTATGTGTATGTTAAATATGAAGCCACAGCCAGAAGACGGTTAGCTTAGCATAGCACTGAGACTAGAAACAAGCTGCTCACTTATCTCTTTACTTCTTTTGCTTCTTGGACTCACTATATAACCCGCCATATCTCAAATGACCCACTAGTCAACCACTTCCTGTCTGAAACTGTGTATTGAGTAGATATGAGCAAGGAAAGAGGGCAAAAATCTTGAATGCTAAGTGGGTAAATAATGTTTTTTATCTTGAGAGGTTGAACTCTTTTTTAGCAACATCAGCATTTTGATTTTTTATTTTCCCAGATCATAAAAAAACAGCAAAAAATTCTCAATTTTTAATCAATTTTTGTTGCTTGGGTACATCCCTGAAACTACGACTGACAGTATTATAAATGTGATCTGTACAGTGGTAAACCTATAAGGCATATAAGCTACTCTGATGGTAAAGAGCCATGATTTCTGTTTGATACAGACTCGTGTTTCTGGGTGTTTATCAATGCAGTCCAGTCTTGTGAGCCTATACAGTGATATCCACAGGGAGCGGCCTATGATGTGAGCTGTAAAAAACCAGCAGGCCTCAAAGCGCTACCCGCTCAACTCCCCCTCCTCGACATGAAGTCATTGACATTAATTTGATATTTGAGAGAGTCTTGCTCTGTTAATTAGGACAGGCATTTTTGTCATTTGAAAGCCTGATGTTTCGCATCAATTCCCCCAGCTCGCACCCCCACCATGCCAAACACATTTCCACTATTGGCTTGCTATTGCGAGAGAAGGAGAGGTAGTGTCTGGATTTACAGACGCACAACACCAGTCACAGTCCAACAGTCTTAAATAGACTGTTGGAAGCCTTTCAGATGTAATCTTGCCAGTAAAACATTAGAAAGAAGAGACATTTAAACCCCGTGAGCCATTTGTAGTTGTACTGAAAATAGCAGCAGATGCAAACATTAAAACATCATAAATATGTTAGACTCATGCTGCTTTCTGCACTGGTATGGATTCCATATTAAAGTGGGTCAGTAACCTAGTATTTCTCTGTCCAATTAGATCACAAGTTTAGCTAAATATAGTCATGTAACATTGATAAATGCATGTGAGGAATTGTGTCATTTAAAACAACCA